TCAGAGTCTCATGGACTTCCATGCTTGGGCTGGCTTTTAACTACGATCCTGAGATCTTAGCCTCCTGAGTAGCTAGGATTACAAGTGTGACTCATTGGATCCCAGCTGGGTTACATGTATTTTTTTAGGACAATTCTTCTACAGGCATAATCATTTTTGAAGACAAAAAAAGCTCATGTTTAATTCCCTCCCCCCTTTTTTGCTTTAATGGGCCTTCCTAACCTTTCACATTTTCTTTAGGCCTCAGCATCACAACTCAGTAACACCTTATCTAATCACCCCAACTGGAGGGAATTTCTCCTTCTTAAAACATCTTATACACCATTGCTTATGGTGCCCCAGGTTTGGAGCCACAGGCTGCATGTGTTGGGAGTCTGCTACTCATGGGCCCATCAGTCTCCAACAGCATCAGGAGTCCACTAACCTGCAGGATTTGGGATCTGACCTTTACCTGCCTGGTGAAATAGCTCAAGTTCATATAAGTTTTGGTATATATCTGAAATACTGGCTGCGATTCTGAAGCAGATTCAACCATAAAATCTACTTAAACACTCCATTTGAAGAGTGAACTTGGCTTAAGTTCAGTGATTTCTTTGCTTGCAATTCCTTAAAAAGTCATTTTTAGAGATGTAAGGTCTCAGACCTCAGAGAAAAAAGAAACAAGGGAAAAATAGTACAATCTCTACTAAAGTGTTTCCAAAGAAATCCTACTGTACCCTTGCCAAGAACTGCAGTTCTCTGATAACCAGGGGGCACCAATGATGATACTCCTGAAGATGTTTCTCTCGTGAGAAACTCTCACTCCCCTGTCAAGTAGTATCAAAATCACCACTGCCAACCCTGTAATACCATGTGAGATACCCAAGTGTATTTCCAATAGATCTAGGCCAGTAAGAAACACTAGAAGAATAAACATTTAGATGAGGATAAGAGTCCAATGGAGAGAGTTCTACAATATCAGACATCCACTAAAATGGTGACTTTCAAACATGGAAGTTATTCCTTGAAGTGATAAGATTACATTCAGGTAAGGCATACCCAAAGAATAAACATCTAATACAATTTATGATAAAATCTTTTTGGAAAAACCCCACCATGTTTCTCCAAAAGAAAAGAATGCAGATCCTCCTTGTGATTTAGGAGCCAGCATTGAGTGGTACAACTCAAGATGATTCTGAAGGCCTAGAGGAGAAAGAGTTCCATCGTGCCTCAAAATCCACTAAAATAATGACCTTCAAAGGAAGAGTTGTTATTCCTGAAGAGTATGACAAGACTCATTTGGCTAAGGCAACTTTAAAATATAAAATTTTGTTCAATCCCCAACAAAGCTTTTGGGTAGAAAGCCATCAAGTTCCCCACAACAACCAGACTCCCTGTCATTTAGGAGCTACCAATGAATGACACAACTCAAGCTGTCTAGGAAGGCTGAATACACAAAGTGTTCTGTGATACAATGGTGACATTCAAAAAAGTTACTATTCCTCAAGATGATAACATGTCTCATTCAACTAAGATACACTGCAAAAATAAACATTTAGGATCAGTTCTAGAATTATTCAAAAAGCAAAACCCACCAAGCACACTCCAACAAACAAAAAACTATAGTCTTCCTGACACTGAGGGGCAGCCACGAGTGACACAACTCTAGGTGTCCATGGAGATCTGGAAAAAAGTCCCTTGACAAATTACCATCTACTCGCATGGTGGCATCAAAACCGAAACTGACTTTTTCCTGAGGGAAAATAAAAGTCAAGACCTACACTGTTAAAGCAACAAAGAAGAAAAAAGAAAGTGATGCCCAGGAAGAGAAGCCATGTAGTAAAAAAGGAGGGATCATTAAAGAGACACTATGCACTGAAATGGCAGCCCCCCAACAATGTGATGATGAGCTTTTACAGGACTCAGAGGAATCAAATGAATTCTGACATATCCTGTACTACATTGGGAGTGTACTACATGGGGAGTGTCCAGAAGACTGGACATATACCGCATATGCAGTGATGAAGAGAATCAGTAAGAAAACCCGAAGTCCATCTAGACATAGCATGACTGTCATACCAGGAGGGCCCAATGGACAGTAACCAGCTGCAATATTCTTTGTTTTTTTTTTTTTTTTTTTTGGTCGGTCGTGGGGCTTGAACTCTGGGCCTGGGCGCTGTCCCTCAGCTCTTCAGCTCAAGGCGAGTGCTCTACCACTTGAGCTACAGCGCCACTTCCGGTTTTCTGGTGGTTTATTGGAGATAGGAGTCTCACGGTCTCTCCTGCCCGGGCTGGCTTTGAACCGCGATCCTCAGATCTCAGCCTCCTAAGTAGCTAGGATTACAGGCGTGAGCCACCAGCGCCCGGCCCAGCTGCAATATTCTTAATGCTTGCTTACAAGTGCTCCTGTTTGCTCAAATGTTTTAATAGTCCCTTCCCTGCTCACAGGGGTGCCTATCAAAACTTCTTGGTGTTTAGAGGTGTAGCTCAGTTGGTAGAGTGGCAAGCAATGGGCAATAGCAGTAGATATCAAGTTCAAGTCCTGATCGGGGGTGGGAAAGGTAACAAACACCACCTCTGTTTTTGTGTATTGTTTGCTCTTTCATTCAATAAAGTTTCAGAGATTAGGGCTTGATCATGCTGGGATCCTTTTTCAATCTACTCTATTCCTCATTCTCTTTACCCAGCACAAGATAATCTTTAATTTCTGTGTCTATGGAGCTGCCTACTTTTGACATTTTATTTAAGTGTAATCATACCATATACGGTCTTTTGTGCCTTGGTTCTATACACTTGGCCTATTTTCAAGGAATATCTGAAATAAACTTGTATGATTTGTGTTTTGAAAAAAAATCTAAAACATTCTATAGGCTACTTCTGGCACTACTTTGGCACAGATCAGAGATGACTATGGTTACTTCTATTTAACTTTCGTATTAGGTCAAGGCCATAACCTTCCCATGATCTCTAGGCACTGGGTCCGAAACCTGATAAGGCTGAAAGAGACTTACTAAGGAAAGCAAAGTAAGACAATTCCTGACCACCTTCTTTTTCAGAAGTACCTTCAGTAGCTAGGTCTGGTGATGTATACATGTAGCCCACAGGGTGCACAGGAGGTTGAGGCAGGAGGACAGGGAGTTTGAGGCCAGCCTGAGCTATACAGTGAGCTTGTCTCATACAGTAAAGGGGAGAGGGGAAGAAAAGTGAGACAAGGAGATGCCCTCACACTAACATATAGCCAAGAAGAGTTCAATATCATCTTTGTCTTACTCCTTTCCATTCAGCTGAAATGAAGACCCCCTTACACCTATGAGGTCCAAAGAGCTCCCTGTTACCAGTGACATTTGCCAAATTAAGTGTCAACAAAGTAAATTACTTCCTCACTGTATTTGAAGGCAACAGAGCTCACAAAAGAGACAGAAGTGTGTATCACAGAGGAGATTAGGGAAGACAATACAGGCCTAGGCTCAATACTGATTCTGGCTCTACCAATGACTAGTTATAGGGCTCTTCTGAGTATAGCTACCTCGTCTGCAAATGGGGGTAGACTGGGGCTGGAAATGTGGGTTGGTGGTAGAGTGCTTGCGTAGCACGCATGAAACCCTGGGTTTGATTCCTTAGTACCACATATACAGAAAAAGCCAGGAGTGGTGCTGTGGCTCAGGTATTAAGTGTGCTAGCCTTGAGCAGAAGCAGCTCAGGGACAGTGCCCACAGTCCCTGAGTTTAAGCTCCAGGACTAGCACAAAACAAAACAAAATTAAAAAAGGGGCTTGGAAGGTGGCTCAGTGGTAGAGTGCTTGCCTTATATGCATGAGGCCCTGGGTTCGATTCCTCAGTACCACATAAGCAGAAAAAGCCAGAAGTGGCGTTGTGGCTCAAGTGGTAGAGTGCTAGCCTTGAGCTGAAGAGTTCAGGTAGATCTACTTTGGAGGGCTGATGTAAGGGTTAAATAACACAAAACAATATTTAGTAGAATGCTTGTGACATATTAAACTCTCAACAATAAGAGAAACAAGATTTTTTTTTTTGCCAGTCCTGGGGCTTGAACTCAGGGCCTGGGTGCTCTCCCTAAACTTTTTGTGTTCAAGGCTAGCACTCTACCACTTGAGCTACAGCACCACTTCCAGCTTTTTCTGTGTATGTAGTATTGAGGAATCGAAGCCATAGCTTCATGCATGCTTGCACTCTTACAACTGAGCCACCTTCCCAGCCCCAGGAAATAAGAATTTACAGGATCTTAAGTTTGTAGGTTGTCTATTACTGTTTTTTGTTTTTGCTTCTGGGGCAATTTCCCCTTCACTGAGCCACAGGATGCTGAAGCTGGAAGTCTTCTAGAATATGAGATTAAGTCCTTAACTTTATCCTACAAATATCCTAAGACTTTCACCAGATTAGCTTCTTTTTTTTGGGGGGGGGGGGGGGGAGGGGGTTCCGGTCATGGGGCCTGAACTCTGGGCCTGGGAGCTGTCCCTCAGCTCTTCAGCTCAAGGCTAGCGCTCTACCACTTGAGCCAGAGTGCCACTTCCGGCTTTTTTCTTTTTGCTTATGTGGTGCTGAGGAATCGAACCCAGGGCCTCGAGCATGCAAGGCAAGCGCTCTACCACTGAGCCACCTTCCCAGCCCCAGATTAACTTCTTTAAGATAAAGAATAGCCTGGCTTTTCTGATAGAACTAGTACAGGGTCAACTGAAAAAGGCATATGAGAGGGAGTGGCAAGTGATAATGGGTTTCATATATACCTGGTACCTACCATCCTCTGGCAGGAAACGTGTTTGAAACAGGACTAGCTATTGAAATAGGCTCAGGGACACTACACCCGGACCATAACCAGTAACCAAAAAAAGCAGCTTGGTCTTCTACTACTCATAAGCCATGGGAGTAATTAGCAAGGTACCACAGTACCATCTAGTGGCCACAACACTCTTCCCTTCCCTCCAGGTGTTAGGGAAAGGCTGCTATGTCATGTCAAGAGTTTTACAGCCCTGGTCATATAGTCTTCACTTGGAGAAAAATCAAATACTCTATCCTCTCTCTCTTTAATATTAACAAATACAAGCAGCAAAGAGGGCCAGATGCATTCTGGTGTTTCCTGAGGGAAAGCCAATCAGAAAGCTGTTCTTCTGGCCTTCTTCCACCTGTAGGGGCTATCTAGCTTCTCCCTGAGTCAGAGCTTTGTTCCAGCCCAAACTTCCCTCATCCCAACTCCCCCTGCAGGATGGGAGGCACATGGTTGCTGGTGGTGGGAAGAACACTACAGTCCAGCCTCTGTTCCTTTAACTCAGCCTCGGTGGTCATCACTGATCTTTCTGTAGCTAGCTCCTCACTTGTCCTGTTCCAGGAGTCGGGAGGGCAACCAAGCACACCACAGAAGTAGGCTTTGCGACTTCAGTCATCAGATGACTCCTCTTCTGCCTCTTTTAGCCACTGGATGAACCTCTGCAGCTGTAAAGAAGCCAAAGGGAGAGCTACTGGGAGAGGGTCATGTACCCTACTGCTCCTTGCTCCCTCCCCTTAGCAGATAAACAGTGCTAAGAACCAGAATCCTGGGAGTCTAGGCTCAAGGACCAGGAAACCTTGGTGAATAGAAGACAGCCTAACTCACCTGCTGATTCTTGCGCAACTGTCGACCTTTGTCAGTTATATCCCTTTTGCTGAACCAGCTCAAGATTGTTTCCTCAGCCAGAATCTCCAGCTGGTAGAAAACCATCAGGACCTGCAGGAGGCCAGGAAAAGGGATGTCAGGGGCCTTGCAGAGCCCAGTGCGATAAAGTAGATGGATAATGGAAGGAGAAGAGGTATGGTCTTATCATCTGTACCAAGCCCTCAGCTTCTTACATACACTAAGTAGCCTCCTCCAAAGCAGACAACAGTGAGCTATTCACTCTGGTACTGGGATAGGTATAACTTTTGGAATTATTCCTGGATAATGTTGCATATCACCAGGATTCCATAAATGGCTACCTTACCAATACCTATTTCAAACTCTACTATTCTAGTAAGAAACACAAAACTGGAGGCAGATGGTGCTATGAACCAAACTCCATACTGAGAGTTCATGTTAGCTTCTGTTTTGTCACCAAGGCCTGCTTCAAAACAAATGAAGGAACATAGGGTTTTATGCAGTATTCACCTTGGCCATGGTAGTAGCAAATGCTTCATGCTCCAGAAAGAAGTCCTCAATGGCTGCTAATGCTTCTAAATGGTCAGCAGCACGCTTTATATAGTTCTTAAAAACAGGGCTCCAGGTCTTGAGCAACTAAAGAAAAAAGAAATGAGCTATAATATATTCATGAAAATGAAGCTATACCTGAATAGCAAAGACAATGTTGATGATATGTATCTTTTATAACATGGGAGGACAATAGGGAGATGATATAGACTCTGTAGAATTACAGAAGGACCTAATTCAGTCAGAGTTAGGGAAGACAAAAGGGAGCATGATGTTATAGGCTGCATCAAATACCTCTTTTTATCTCAGAGGCTGATCTTGTTCTAGGGCATAAATCATTTTTATAAAACCTAAAAGTCCAGATCTATTATTTTTATTTTTTATTTTATTTTTTTTGGGTCCGGTCGTGGGGCCTGAACTTTGGGCCTGGGCGCTGTCCCTCAGTTCTTCAGCTAGCGCTCTACCACTTGAGCCACAGCATCACTTCTGGCTTTTTTCTTTTTGCTTATGTGGTGCTGAGGAATCGAACCCAGGGCCTCAGGCATGCAAGGCAAGTGCTCTACCACTGAGCCACCTTCCCAGATCTATTATTTTTGATTATTATTTTTGGGTTGGTTGCGGGGCTTGAACTCTGGGCCTAGGCATTGTCCCTGTGCCCTTCAGCTCAAGTTAAGTGTTCTGCCACTTGAGCCACAGCGCCACTTCCAGTTTTCTGGTGGTTAATTAGAGATAAGGGTCTCACAGACTTTCCTGTCTGAGCTGGCTTTGAACTGTGATCCTCAGCTATCAGCCTCCTGAGTAGCTAGGATTACAGGCGTGAGCCATTGGTGCCCCAGCTTCAGGTCTATTTCTATATGTCACTTTGAGGTTTGTATGGTCTGAATTCTGGAATCTCAAAACTCATTCAGGATTAAATTCAACCTGACTCTCCTGAACCAATCAAAGCTGCTCTAGAACTGAAGGAGCTTTCAAGGAAAAAGAAACCAGATGCCATATAATATTCCTAACTTCCTTTAAAGTCAGGCACAGGAAGGACCTATGTCTGTTTTCACCCCAACCCTTGTCCCCAGCCCCAATCTTTACTCACAGGAAGCAACAGGGCACAGTAGCGGTTTGGGTCAAGTAGGGAATCCATTTGTTGCAAGGGGAACTCCAGGACCACATGGCTCAGTACCTGCATTACCTCCTTTAGGCTTATGTTGTAAGCATACCTGGGGGGAGATTAGTGAGACAAAATGGCTTTACTGGGTTGTTCGGTATGCTGACTATGACTTTGACAGCACACTGGAGGGGAGAAAGTCAGATGGAACAAACAGGAAGGAGGGTTTTGGAAGAAGTCTATGATGAGGTTAGAAGCTATTCCTGGTCTCCATTTGGGAACACTGAGGAACTAGGTTCCTACGTGGAAAAGAAACATTTGGCAGAGAAGCTCTACCTGTCTGAACTTGCCAACAGGAGGAGAATGGGGGGGAAGCAGAGAATTGCTCTTACTTGAGAGAGTTGATCTCCAAGACTAGATTGTCACAAGAAATGTTCTCCTCCTGGCCTCGCTGTAATGTTCCCAGAACTTCATTCTGAAACACTGAAAAAAAGTAAGTTCATAGGTTAATACTATTTTGAATGCTTTGCTTTAAGTCAGGTAGTAGAAAGAAATCACGTGGAAGGAAAAGAGCTTTTGGCTAGTTGATGTAGACAAAGAATAAACTAGCCTTGCCAGTTCCGGGAATTGAACTCAGGGCCTTATGCTCTTGCTCTGCTTTTTCACTTGTGACTAGTGCTCTACCACTTGTGCCAAGTCTCTACTTCAAAATTTTGCTAGTTAATTTTAAATAAGAGTCACATGAATTTGTCTGCTTGGGCTGGCTCTGAACCTCAATCCTCAGATCTCAGCCTTCTGAGTGGCTTATAGTTGTGAGCCTGGCTAAATTGGCCTTTTGTCCAAGCCTCTGTTCCCCTGGACACTCACCTTTGATGTCATCCAACTGAGGGGAGCCAGCCCTGCTGTCTAGCTCCTCAGAATCCATACTTCGCTCACTTTCAGTTTCACTCTCTTCTTCCAAGTTGATTGTGAGTCCTGAGAACATAGAAAAAGAGAAAAATAGGGAAAAACCATGGATATATCATCTGAGAGAAGATATATTGCATGAGAGAAAAATGAACAAATAACTGACTCCCAAGTATATTTAGAGTATTCAGACTTAGGAGGAGGAAGGCAGGCATAAAGACTAACTCACCCCATAGACTATGCCGTAGTTCTTCTTCTTCCTCTGCGTTTACGTCTGCAGCTTTCCAGAGGTAGCCTTGGCCTGCGGCACCTACTTCTGCTGGATTGTAACCTGAAAAAGGCACCCATCTTTACAGAAATTCCAGTGACAGTATCAATCACTCCAGAAAGAGAGGGTGGCTTTCCTATGGGAAAAGGGTGCACAGATGCCCCACACCTGTTGAGCCTCACACCTTTCAGCTTCACTTTTTCCTTTTCTTGGTTGGCCCCAGAATCATCACTGAACTGGCCATCATCCTCATCTTCATCTGCATCTGGAGGGTGCAAAGAGATGACCGATCCCTCAGGCAGTGTGATACCAGGTCCTACTACCACCTAGGGGAGAAAAAAAGGAGTGAATAGTACAGACCCATCACAATTGGAGTGGTATTTTTCTTTTTTTACTGAGCCAAGTAGAAGGTAAATTAAATCAGTGGAATTGGCTTCTCAAATCAGGCTCACTTACAGTAGAAATAAGTCCCTGTTGGCTTAACATAATCATCATTCAATTCAGAGCTTGTGCACAGTATGGAACAGATCTTACCTGGGAAGTTAGGACACAGCGTGGCTTCAGTATAACTCGTTCCTTGACCTCAGCATTGTCACAGAGAAGAGACTGGTAGATCTGTGCTCCAGTAGCTACTCGAACACCTTGCCACAGGTAGGCCTGGTCCAGGACCACATTATCACCTGGCTCAGGATGGAAAGGACTTTTGGTGACTGAAGGTTCCATCACGAAGGAAAGGCTGACTGACACCAGCACAGCTGCTACCTAATTTCAACACAATGCCCCCAATGACTCAGAAACATTCACTTAGCCTCTAGCCCCAGCCTAGTAGAACATTGCTTTCAGCCTGGCTAATCCTTATCAAGTTTACAACCATTGTATACTATACTATATGGAGCTCAAGATTTCTTGGGATAAACCGCGAAACTTATGAGAATCATATGCATGTGTACAAGTAGAGTTACATTAATCCATCTCTTCTAATATATCACAGAATTTGTTTTAGCATTGTTCTTGTAAAGGGGCAGTACCATTAGAAGCACTGCATTCCTAAAACCAAAGTGACTAGAGTTATGAGAAAGTAAGAAGTACACTGGACCTATAACTAGAATACTCAGAATTCAGGTCTGAGTACTGCCTCTTATTAGTTATGACTCTGAGCAAGACAACCTCTCTAAGTGTATTAGTAACTTAGGGATAAATAATACCTACCTACCAAAGTTCTTGTGAGGACTAAGTAAACTAATAAAAGACTTTGGTAAACTGCAATGCACTAAACAGAGGTTACTACTGCATGTTAATTATCTACCTGGCCCTGAATACAGGGTATCTGGAATGCAAAAAATTATCCCTAAGAGATTTACAACATATTCTAGTTCTCTCCATTCTTTTCTTTTTTCAAGATCGAGCCTCATTATGTTGCCCAAGCTAGTGTCAAACTCCTGAGGTCACCATTCTGAGTAGCTGGGATGAATGGCTGATTTTCCTCCTTTTTTAAGGTAAGCCACTCTAGTTCCTTATTCCCGAGGACTATCCCTGTGGCAAAGACACGAGGACCAAGATTCCTGTTCCTAGGTAGTTGACACGAGTCCCTCACTAACTGTGCTTACCAATGTGGCAGCTAGGTCCAATGATACTGTTGGTGATGGAGCAATTGCTGCCAATGACAGTACCAGAGCCCAGGAGCACATTTTCCTCCAGAATGCTGCCATGGCCCAGGCTGACCTCAGGCCCACGGTAAATGTTGTGTCGGGAATGAGTGCAGTTCTGTGTAGGGCTGTCAGTAAAGTTCGCTTCTGGAGTGAGAGGGTAGACCCATCGGCGGATGACATCAGCAGAAACAGCAGAGTACATGTGGAGGTTGGAAACCCGGGCACCATATTCCCTACTTGTTACATGCATGTGAATCTGGTTCCCTAGGATCTGAATGAGGAGAAAGGAAGGAAGATCACTCAAACAAGCAAGACAGGAAGAACATCACCAGGTACTACATCTTTCTAAGCCTTTTCATTCCTCTCTGCCTCTCACTGTTAATAGTTAAAAGGATGAGAGTTTTTCCTTATTAATAGATTGTTTTCCTCAGTCTTCTAGTTATTTTCTTTCCTTGTAAAGCTTAATAAAACATAAGAAGGAATAAAAAAATTACCAGAGATAAAACCACAGCCCTCTTTCCCCTAAAAGGGGCTCTGGAAGCCTTTTCTCACCTCCTCATTTACTAATAGGCCTCGCACAAAGTCATCTCGAGTTTGGTAGTCAAAATTGTCTGTGAAGAGTTGAGCCACCTATGGGAGAAAAAGGGGTGGGCTAAAGCTAGGTGCTTTTCCGGTGAGCAAAAACCTAAAGATCTGTTAAACCCATAACAACTGGACAAGAACCAGAATCCATGGCATTCAATCCACTGGGGAGAAGATGATAGCCTTTTTGTTTTAAATCAGGCAAGAAGAAATGTACACTTGTTTTATAAGGGGACAATAACAGGCCTAAGTGATTTATTGGATGTCTCTGAGTTTACCTGAGGAGAGCAGATGCTGATATGACAATCTAGTAAATCATATCGAATCTCCACTCCATCTCCACTGCCCTGGAACAGGCTCTGTATGGAAGAACATACAGGACTTTAGCTTATTTCTTCGGCTGAAGCTAGCCACTTGCTTACCTGGGGTTCCCCAAATACTACATACCAGAGGAAATGAATAGCGCTGGAGGCCCTGGGTCTTCTGGAAGTGTAAAACCCGATTTGTGCCACTGTCCACAGCCACCACCACATTGTCCTCATGGCAACGAGTTGGGTGGCTTGGAGATGACTCCTTGAAGATCATTGTCATCACAGATACATTTTTTTCTAACTTCCGTCTCAACCTATAAAAAATAGGATGGTACTGTCATTGGCAGCTGCAAGAGCAGCTTAGTGCTCTGCTAGTCCCTAGCCCTTCTCACTGCCTCTTTTTCATCCTGACCTGTGTTCCTCCAGGGCTCTGGTAATATTGATGTTTGAGATGACATCCCCATAGACTAGAAGAAAGTCAGAGCGGACCAAGGCCTTCGCATCTACATCACGGAGGACATCTCCAAGTGATCGATACAGCTCTGATGTAATTATCCGAACCACATTGAGGGATGTAGGACGGCACCACTTGGATTTTCTATAGGAAAGGGAGTAAAAGGATGAGCAAATCAAGCATAAAGATCCCATGGACCTTCCTCACCTCCCTCCATTCAGCGTCAACACTTTGTTTTGTTGGATCCTTGCCAGCGTCCTCAACTTCAAAGAGATTTAATTAATGCTTTAAGCATCCTGTGTCACTAGTTTTTGTTTTATGGGTTGGAGAAACATGGTTATCTCCTCCCAATAACTTAACCTATGTCCCTGAATTTGGAGTTGAACTCAAAATCCTACAGAAATATAGAGTATAAAAGCACTCTGAGAACACATTTTTCATGTTATTTTTCCTACTCTAAAGTCTATTATCAAATTTAGTAACTGTGTGATAGAAGTCAGTGTCCTAGTGTTTATTTCTTAAAGTTCCATTAATTCTGCAATTCTCTTTGCCAAGATTTCAAAAGGTATTTGTTAAGGGCTTACTATATGTTGTATACTAACTCAAGTAATGGGAAAAAAAAGAAAGAGCTTATTTCTATGCTTAAGGGTCAGAACAATGTGTAGATATTCAGTTGTTTTAGTAATTTACATATTACAACCATTAAATAGAGTAAAACTTACTGGGATATTTTTTATAAATGAAACTCATAAAATTGCATCTGTCATTCCTTAACTTTTATTATAAGAACCTTGATAAAGATTCCAGATCTGGGCAATGGTGGCTTACATCTTTAATCCTAGCTACTCAGGAGATGAGATCTGAGAATTGTGGTTCAAAGTCAGCCCAGACAGGAAAGTTCATGAGAGACATTTCCAATTAATCACTAGAAAATTGGTAGAGTGCTAGCCTTGAGCAAAAGAGCTCAGTGGCCAGGCCCTGAGTTCAAGTCCCACAACCAAAAAAAAAAAAAAAAGTGAACAGAACACCTTAGATCTTACAATGGGAACTAAACACACATGTTCCCTCATATTCCACTTAGTTATAGTCATCCTGAAAAAACAAAACAAGTGAAAGAAGATCAGACATGGAAAGAAAAGTGGCAGGGGCTTACAGTAAATGTTCTTTGATCTGAGCAGCCTTCCAGCAGCAAAAGACAAAGGTTTCCTGTACACCTGTGGCAGTCAGGAATTCCAGAGTGTAGTCAATTAATGCCACATTGGCCAGGGGCAAGAGGGCCTGCAGGATAAAACATGAAAAAAAATAGAGGTATTCAATCCATAAAGGCCCTTTGGGGTCCCTCACGACCACAAATTTTACTCTTGTATCAGTATTTTCAAACACTACAGATTTGCTTTATCGTGTCACATTCAAAGGCTAAACAGGCTCCTGCCTTTAATGTTCTCCGCATGAACATTATTCAGAGTTTAAGATGCTATTATTTGGGCCCTGAGTTGGTCATGGAATCTAGTTAAGTCTCAAACACAGAGCTGTTACAGAACAGCAGACCACTGCTGGCAAAGGACATCAATCATTTCCCTAGAACTCTGGCACTGCTCAGGCCTTCTCCATAAAATTGCCTTCCTTGATATTTTTCTAAGGGTTATGGGCCATCTCCACGCCCCTCCTTCCTCCACTTGTCGTGGGGGGAATCAACGAACAAACAAACAGACAGACTTTTGGTAATAGGCAAGGTTTTCCCTCCGTCCATGATCGCTCTGAATGAAGACTACGGAGTGACCCAGCAATCTCAGGTCTAGGTAATTCGGGGCTGATGGAATACGGCCACTAAACCCATCTGGATGGATGGCACGGCTGTCATTAACACGTGGAAAGGGAGCGGGGGGGGGGGGGGGGGGGAAGCAGACTAAATCGAGATCCAGCCTTCTTAAGGTGTAGTATCGCTCTCCCCAAGTCCGAAGGAGATTGGTGCTGGTTTTCCAGCCGCAGCCGCTCCGCTGGGCGCCGGGCGCGCGGGGCTCCCGCGGGGCTCCGCCTTGAGCCTTCGCCATCGCTCCCGCAGCCGACCCCGGCAGCCCCGCGAGTGCCCACGCGTGCCGGCCGCCGCTGGGCCAGGCCCCATCCCACTCACAGGAGCCCGGTCTGAGGCCCCCTCGGGGACGCGGGGCGGGCCCCCCGGAGGCTCGCGCTCACCCGAGGCTGGTCCTTGGAGACCGGGAAGAAGCGGCGGTTGAAGCTGTCCGCCACCAGAACGGCTTGAAGGGGCGGCGGCGGTTCCTCCTCCGTCCCTCTGGCGCCGCCGCCGCCGCCGCCGCCGCCGCCGCCGCCACCTCCCGGCCCGCCGCCACCACGCTTGTTGGTTCGACCGGTCATCGCACCAGGTGCCGCCACCACAGCGGCAGCCATCTTCCCTCACACACGACTACTTCCGCAGGGAAGCTGGTACCGCACGCAGTAAGGGACAAAAAAAGACCCAGCGAGGGAAAAGCGAAGGACAGGCTAAATCACGCGGGGGGGGGGGGGGGGGAGCTAGGAAGTGCCGTGCGCATGCGTGCTCCTCAGGCGCCCCTCCCCTGGGAGGTCCGAGCCGGAGGCGTGGCGCCAGGCTGCGGCTGGCTGCGGCGGCGGTCGGGGTCCCTCCTGCTGCTGGATCCAGTGAACGCCCGACCGGGTCTGTAGTGTAGACCACCTTCTCTTGTACACGAACCGGCCGAGATTCCTGCGGCACGTAGGGATTTGTGGTCGCCCTGAAGAGGCCGATTCATGTGATATCTGTAATCATCCAGCAGTTAAAAATGACCATCTTGTGTATTCATTCTAGTCCCGGAGGCGCCTTGGAGAGCTGGAACCCAGTTCGACATTCCCTCCCGGTAGGGAACTCACAATCTGTGCGAATACAGAGTGTATTCGTGCAAGGGTGGTAATTCAGCTGTGTGCCAGGTACAATACAAAACTAGGGGGCCTGGGCGCTGTCCCTCAGCTCTTCAGCTCAAGGCTAGCGCTCTACCTTTGGAGCCACAGCGCCACTTCCGGCCTTTTCTGCTTATGTGGTGCTGAGGAATCGAACCCAGGGCCTCATGCATGGGAGTCAAGCACTCTACCACTGAGCCATGTTCCCAGCCCCAATTTAATTCTTTATATTACTGAATCCACAATTCTTTTCAGGTTGTCTGGGGGTAAAACTTGGACTTCTGCATTTTTAAAAGGTTTTCAGCTACTGCTACTGCTCTTTTTCAATGTCCATACTTTCAGTGGATAAGGTCAATAGGATCTCTGATACAATTATTGCCACCTTCCCAGGCCTAGTATTTCGTTTTTTGTTTTCGATTCAGGATCAGACTTTCTTTAACCTCTTATACAAAGGAAGGACACCTAGCTACTGAGTGGAAAAACGAACTGGATCCCAATCTACCTGACCTCATTGTTGCACAATTTTTCTGTCACATTAAGTGAATGTTTTGTGAGGTTTTCATTTTGTGCATTCAACCTATCAGACTACTGGGTGGCCTGAGCATAGTGGAGAGGGAGGTGGCCCTAAGAACGCCAGGAAGCTGAGTAGGATTGGAAGGAAATTTTCTAGGCAAAGTAGCAAACCAAGCTTGTGTTGGGGGAAGTGAGGGCAGGCAGCCCAGTTGGCATTTGGAAGAGAAGATACTTTCCAACAAGGCACCACAACCTTTCTGCTTGGGAACCATCCTAGTTTCACCCTCAGCATCTTCCACTAATCAGTGTGGGTGTTGCTTACTCTCTCTTTCTTGTTGGGATTTGCATCCTTCACCCAGACATTTGTTTCCACATGAACAGACAGATGTGACTCCCTACTCTCCTCCTCCTTGTGCAACCTAGGAGTCTTGTTATTTCTGTCCTCTCTCAATTAGGATACTTACTAAACTTTTTTTTTTTTTTGGTCGGTCGTGGGGCTTGAACTCTGGGCTTGGGCACTGTCCTAGCGCTCTTCAGCTACCGTTTGAGCCACAGCACCACTTCCGGTTTTCTAGTGGTTTATTGGAGATAAGGGTCTCATGGACTTTCCTGGCTGGCTTTGAACCGCCATGCTCAGATTTCAGCCTCCCGAGTAGCTAGAATTACAGGCGTGAGCCACAGGCATCCGGCAATTTTTTTTTTTTTGAAAATTCAGTCTGGACAAGGAAAGGCAAAAGGAACATACTGGGCCTGGTTGTACAATTAGGTGTCTGAGATAGAAGGATCACAAGTTAGAGGCCAGCCTGGACAATATACACAGGAGACACGTCTCAAAACAAAACAACTAATTAATGTACGTTATGGAAGACTTAACACACACACACACAGACACACGCACACCTCTCATCTCAAAATGAAACAACCAATAAATGTGCATTGTCAAATGCACACATGAGGGCCAGTGTTGAATATGTTAAGTATGGTGGTCAGTGACTTGGGAAATTAGGCAATATACTGTTCTATGTGCCAACCTCCTCATCAAGGGGTGTGTGTGTGTGTGTGTGTGTGTGTGTGTATGTGTGTGTGTGTGTGTGTGTATGTGTGTGTGTGTGTGTGTGTGTGTGTATGCCAATACTGGGCTTGAACTCAGGTTGGAACTCTTTTTTTCCTTTAACTTAATTTACTTTATTGATAGTATAGAGGTGATGTACAGAGTGATTACAATTACACAAATCAGGTAATGCGTTCCTTCATTCTCTCCCAGTCCCTCTCTTCCATCTCCATCCATGAGTTGCCTAGTTCACTTTCATCAGTGTCCAGTGAGCTCCACTGCTGCACTTTTTCACCCATTTTCCCTCAAGTTCTGTACCCTTTCCACTACTCTTCTGAAGATATACATGTGAATACACCATACATAAAGTAAAGAAGACAGAATCATCAAAAACTTTAAAAAAGTCTTATTTCCCTATCTTGGAGTTTATTTCAGTATGCATATTATTATATATAAATATGAAGAGGCACTTAGGCATTGCACCTTTGTGTTTCTCTCCTAAGAGTATCCTGTTTTGTTTTCAATGTGTGCGAGTATCTAGAATCCTGTATAGGGGCTGGGAAGGTGGCTCAGTGGTGGAGCGCTTGCCTTGCATGCCTGAGGCCTGGGTTCGATTCCTCAGCACCAAAAAAGAAGAAAGCCGGAAGTGGTGCTGTGGCTCAAGTGGTAGAGTGCTAGCTGAAGAGCTGAGGGACAGTGCCCAGGCCCAGAGTTCAGGCCCCACGACCAGACCCCCCCCCCAAAAAAAAGATAGAATCCTGTATAGTTTGTCATATCTCAGTGCATTTTAGACCTAATTTCCTCATATCAGCAAGAACATGTGCCATTTTTCTCTCTGAGCTTGGCTTATCTCATTTAACATGATTGGTTTTAGTCCCATCCATTTCTCTGCAAATGACATTATTTTATTCTTTCTAATGCCAATGTAAAATTCCATTGTGTATAGATACCTGATTTTTTTTTGGATCCACTCATCTATTGTGGGGCATCTGGGCTGTTTCCATATCTTGGCTATTGTGAATAGTGAATATTGCAGCAACAACATGGATGTATATGTGTCCTTATTGTATCCTGGCTCATGATATTCAGGGTAGAAGTCAGGCTAGAACTCTTTTTTTTTTTTTTCCAGTCCTGGGGCTTGAACTCAAAGCCTGGGCACTGTCTTTGAGCTTCTTTTGCTCAAGGCTAGTGCTCTACCACTTAAGGCACAGCTCTACTTCCAGCTTTTTCTGTTTATGGTACTGAGGAATCGAACCCAGGGCTTCATGCATGCTAGGCAAGCACTCTACCACTAAGCCACATTCTCAGCCCAAGGCTGGAACTTGCTTAACTTTTTCACTCAAGGCTGGCCCTCTACTACTTGAGTTTCACCTCTACCTCTACCTCTGGCTTTTTGGTGGAGATAAGAAGCTCATGGGGTGGGAAAGTGGCTCAGTGGTAGAGTGATTACCTTGCATGCATGAGGCCCTGGGTTCGATTCCTCAGCACCACATAAGCAGAAAAAGCTGGAAGTGGAGCTGTGGCTCAAGTGGTAGAGCGCAGCCTTGAGCTGAAGAGCTGAGGGACAGCGCCCAGGCCCAGAGTTCAGGCCCCACGACTGACCAAAAAAAAGAAGCTCATGGATTTGTATACCTGGGATGACTTTTAGCTATAATCCTCAGAGCTCAGTCTCCTGAGAGGTTAGCATTTCAGGCATGAGCCACAGACTCCCAGCTCAAGTACTTTTTGATCTTATGGGTTTCTGGTTTATGATGTGGGAGCCAGCCACACCCAAAGTGTACATGGAAACCAGAGTCCTGTCAGAAAGAATATTTGCCTATTCTAAGATCCAGACATGCACAGACTTGAAGAGAGATTGAGTTTCCTGGAAGTTCTGGATTGCAGAAACACAGTAAGCTTCCTTAAACAGTAGTGATTCCCCATCCCCACCTCAAAAATAAACAAACAGGGAGGGAGGGAGGGGATGGTAGGGGGAAAACAATGGAGGGGGTAACAATGTTCAAGAGGAAGTGTACTCATTACCTCACTCATGTAACTGTAACCCTCTGTATAGTAGCTTTACAATAAAATAAAATTAAAAAAAAAAATAAACAAACAAAAAAAACCCAAACCACTACCACCATCACCGTACAAAAACCAACCCAGAAAGGATGGCTAAGTATGTCAGCCTGAACATCAAGGTCTGGAATTCAGAGAGAACTGTGCCTGGCCTGCTGCTTATCCAGTTTCCCCTGAGAAAAATGTATGCTCTAGGAGAGCAAGGCTGTTGTATGAAGGGAGGGAATTTGATAGGGTAACAAACTGTACCTATTTGCCCAGAACTATCCCAGATTTAGCACTGCATTCTGGATTGAGGGAAACTACTGTGTCCCTGGTGCACTGAAATAGCTGCAATAGTTCCAATAGTGCCAATAATTCTGCTGTGGGATCTCCTTTCCTTAAGGAGTTAACCAGGAGAAATGTCCGTTTTCCCAGTGCCTGGACAGGAAGGAGACTTGAGTCTGGTGGGCCACAGCATAGCAAGACTGCAATGCTTACTGTAGAATGCCAGCGAAAACATCGTTTTAGAAAAAATTCTAAAAATAGACTATATATAAAAGGGAACAAAGTGAAATTGACATTACTAAAGCAAAAATGGAAGTCAGAAGATAGTGGTACATACTCTTAGAGAATTTACATTTAAAGAAGGGTAAATTAAATAAATTTCCAATTAATGACTGACCACTAAAAGATCTTTATTAAAGGAGTTTTTCTTTTGGTGCTGGAATGGAACCCAATATGTCCAACATGCTACATTTTCTTTCTGTCAACTGTGATGAGATAACATAATATTAATATCTCAATTGGACAATACAAAAATGCAATTGAACTACTTATAAATCAGAAAGGAAATTAGAATTAAAATATTCTAAGACCTTAGCCAGGCACTGGCCCCATTATTACCAAGACCAAACACAACCCAACATCTCAAAACCTGAAAGAGGAGACCACAAGGCAATACAGAGCAAGTGTTCCAGTTCAGGGTTCTTCGTCTTTGTATTGAACATCTAATGGCATCATGGGAAATCTATTTTCATGACTTCCTCTAATTCTAATTACCTTCCAAAGGCCCCACCTTCAAATAGAATCAACATAAAGACTTAGGGATTACATTTCCAACATGTGAAATTTTGGGAGATACATTCACCACAGCAATACATAAGGCAAACCTTAATAGGTGGCAATAATTGTATCAGAGATCCTATAGACCTTATCCACTGAAAGTATGGTCATTGAAAAAGAGCAGTAGCAGCAGCTGAAAACCTTTTAAAAATGCAGAAGTCCAAGTTTTACCCCCAGACAACCTGAAAAGAATTGTGGATTCAGTAATATAAAGAATTAAATTGGAGCTGGGAACATGGCTCAGTGGTAGAGTGCTTGCCTCGCATGTATGAAGCCCTGGGTTTGATTCCTCGGTACCACATAAACAGAAAAGGCTGGAAGTGGCGCTGTGGTTCAAGTGGTAGAGCGCTAGCCTTGAGCTGAAGAGCTGAGGGACAGTGCTCAGGCCCAGAGTTCAAGCCCCATGACTGACAAAAAAAAAAAAAAAAAAAAAAATGAAAAGAGGGATGGGACCTGCTGGGTTAGGGGATAAAATGGGAGCAGCTTTCCTGCCCTGTGTGCTTGCCAGATTTTTGGCACACTTGTGCAGAAGTAAACTTTGCCTTGCCAAGTTCCTTGCAAGTTGGTATCCTTACTGCTATATGACAACCCAACATTCTGAGCTATTTCTACCTCTGGGAAGACAAGTTTCCAATTAACTGGCATGAAGCTGATAGTGGTAGAGCACCAGCTGAGGGTAAAAATGCCAAGCAAGAGGGTGAGTTCAAGCCCTAGTACTGGCTTAAAAAAAAGCCAGATGAAAGAACATTCTTTACAATATCATTACATAAATAGAGATAATGTTTAACTTAATACTGAACAGAACAGAGTGGCAATGCAGAAAGACAGAGTCAAGAACACATCATGGATAGACACTTTATGTATCATGGAAGGTATCAGTCAAATATATAAGAGGAAAACTCCAACTACCCAGAGAACTTGATTCAAATATTAGTGAGCTGTAATAGACCAGGTAGAGAAAAATAAGCTGCTGTATAAGAGGATTTGAACAAGCAATTATGAAGCTCTGTTCAATTATTTGGTTTAAAATATCCTGAAATAGGGCTGGGATTGTGGCTTAGTGGTAGAGTGCTTGCCTAGCATGCATGAAACCCTGAGTCTGATTCCTTAGTACCATGTACAGAGAAAAAGCCGGAAGTAGTTCTGTGGCCCAAGTGATAGAGTGCTAGCCTTGAGCACCAAGCGGGATAGTTCAAGCCCCAGGACTAGCCAAAAAAATCCTGAAACAATTACAGTTATTCATGTAATCATACAAAAACTCCTCCTTCCTTCTATCCATCCTTCTGTCTGCCTGCCTTTCCTTTCTGTACTGGGAATTGAACTCAGGGCCTTTTGTTTGTTTATCAAGGTACTGGGCTTGAACATAGGGCTTGGATGCTATCTCTGAGCTCTTTCGCTCAAGGCAAGCTCTCTACCACTTTGAGTCACAGTACTACTTCCAGTTTTCTGGTGGTTAACTGGAGATGAGCCTTATAAGCTTTCTTGCCCAGGCTGACTTTGAACCTGGATCCTCAGATTTTACAGATGTAAGCAACCAGATCGAATCATTCTTGGTGTTAAACTTTTTTCACTTGGGCTCAGAGTCTCTAAGACTGACCTGCTTATTAAACTTTGATTATTATGTTTGGGCATCTCTTCAAAGAAAGATGTGTTCTGCTATACTTTTTTTTTTTCTCAAGACATATGTTCATCCTTGAGATGAACCTTGTGCCTTGTGCCTTGTGCCTTGTGTCTTTTTTTTTTTTTTTTAGGTCCGGTCGTGGGGCCTGAACTCTGGGCCTGGGCGCTGTCCCTCAGCTCTTCAGCTCAAGGCTAGTGCTCTACCACTTGAGCCACAGTGCCACTTCTGGCTTTTTTTCTTTTTGCTTATGTGGTGCTGAGGAATCGAACCCAGGGCTTCATGCATGCAAGGCAAGCGCTCTACCACTGAGCCACCTTCCCAGCTCCATGTCTTTTTTTTTTTTCCTTCAAGCATTTGCTTTTCCAGGACACATGTCTTTTTTATGATGTTCTTGCCTAGTTTTCAGAGCACACTGGTTATTTTGGGCCAGCAGTCAAGGTCAGATGGAGAAAGTTGCTCTGGTTCTTTTCTTTTTCCTTGTACTAATACTGTATCTTATGAAGGAATGAAAAAGTTAAAGCAGAGAAGATAGTGTTTCTGTGTTTCTAATAGAACTACTCATTAAATACAGTGCTTATTTCTAAAACCCTGGCTGCTGTTTCCATACCTCATTTCTCCTCATCTATTCTGCCTCAGATGCACAGGTGAGAGTTTGACTGTCAGTCCTGCCTATTAAGTTTCCACCCTATGACATGACAAAGAGCTGGAGATCTTGGCAAGGTGATTTATTACTGGGCCAAGTTAGCAGGCAGAAGTGAATCTGCTATGCAGAAGACACAGGGGACTAGAACCACGTGGTAGGGCTGAGGGAATGTTACAGGATGTAGGAACAAAGGAACAATGTCTGGGATAGGAGACTCCAGTGGAGGACATGTGGAATACAGTGGGAACCTGTTATCTTTGAGAACATGACTTTTGGTACAGAAAAAGGGGCAAAGACTTCGCCGGTCTTGGAGGCCGGCAGCAGCTCTGGGCTGGGAGGTGAAGAAGCAGGTAGACTCATGCCTAGGTGTTCCAGAGGATGACGACTGTGATGATGAAGGAAGCTATAAAGAGCAGGTAGAGGCGGAAGAGTAGGGTGTCCATCAGGTGGCTGAATTGCACCCACAGCTCCACCAAGTGCTGCTTCTGGGCTGCAAGTTCCTGCTGGGCCCTTGCTGATTCGGGGCAACCATTTAGCCCTGCTTCTCTGGAGCTTGGCATGGCCCTTACCAGGTCTACTGGCTCTTTCAGGCCTGTGGCAAGGACAGAAATTCAACCCTGAGCTGTGACTGTTACTTGGGGGGAAAAGGAGCAGGGACAGAGAAAAACAGGAGGGAGAGAGGACTGAGTGAGCAGTGCTGGCTTCCCTCACCAGACAGGTTGGTGGAAGTGAGCCCCAGATCCAGGTTCCCCTGGCAGGGCCCGGAGGGGCAGCCTCTCCTAGGGCTTGAGCAGTGCAACAGCAGGGTGTGGAGTCCCTGAGGCATGGGCGGAGGCTGGGTGGTGGCTAGGTGCAGCAGGTAGGTGATGAAGATGGTCTCTAGCAGGCTGGCCACCATCAGGGACAGACACAAGGCAAAGTAGATACCTGCAGACAGAGGAAATTACAAATAAACCTAGATAGGTCATTTTCTAAATTTACTTATTTTTTGGCAATACTGGGGTTTGGATATGTGGCTTTATACTTGTCAGGCAGGCATTCTATCACTTGAGCCACATTCTCAGAGCTTTTTGCTTTTAGCTATTGTCCCAAAGTCTCTTACATTTTTGCCAAGGCTAGTGTGGACTTCAATTTTGGTATTCTTGCATATCTAAGATAAGTAACATGCTCCCATGCACAGCTTTATTGGGTGAGATGTGATCTCACATTTTTTGCCTGGGCAAGGCTCAAACCTTAATCTTCTTGATTTCTGCCTCTCAAGTAGCTTTACCAGAGAAAATCACAATACTCAGTTCTGAACTTTTCTCCTTCCCTCCCTTTCTTCCTTTCTTCCATCCTCCCTTCTTCCCTCCCTCCCTCCCCCTCTCCCTCTCTCACTTTCTTTCTCTCTCTTTTTTCTTTCATCCTTTCTGTCACGGAGCTTGAACTCTGGGCCTGGACACTGTCTCTGAGCTCTTTTGCTCAAGTCTAGCACTCTACCACTTTGAGCCATAGCTCCATTTGCAGTTTTTTTTCTATTTTATGTATTTATTTTTGTTGGTCATGGGGCCTGAACTCTAGGCCTGGACACTGTCCCTCACTGTCAAGGCTAGCACTCTATCACTTGAGCCACAGTGCCACCTCCAGCTTTTTCTAATCGAACCCAGGGCCTCATGCATGCAAGGTAAGCACTCTACCACTGAGACACCTTCCCAGCTCCTCCATTTCCAGTTTTTAGGGGACTTCTTTGCCCCCAATGTCTCAAACTGTGATCCTCAGATCTCAGCCTCCTGAGTAACTAGGATTACAGGCCTGAGCCACCAGTGCCTGGTAGTTCTAAACTTTTAAGCCTCTTTTCCAAATCCAGGGTTCCTCAGAGGTCCTTTCCTCCTTCACTGGAGCAATGGCTAGCTCCCCTGGTCCCTTGCTGTCCCTCTAACTTTGCTTTTCCAGGATATAGAAGGGACCATACTGATGAGAGGGATGCCACTGACAGGGAGTAAGTCATTCATCATAAGCAGGAAGACATTGTAGCCCAATAGGAGAGTCATCTTGAATGGGGCACGATTCTCATTTTCTGGTGGTAGGTAGAAGCTGAGGGCATCGATGGCCACTAGAAAGCCACTGGGCACCAGGAGATGTACCACATAGCGCCTGGGCCTGCGTCTGATGGCCACCTGGTGGGGAGGTAAGGGAAGAAAGAAAATATGGAATGTGAAGAAAATCCTAAATCCAAGAATAGCAGTTTGTTACCACAATTCCAATGATTATTTCTGTGTGTGTGTGTGTGTTCTGGTACTAGGGCTTGAACTCAGGGCCTGGTAGTTGTCCCTTAACTTTTTTTTTAGCTTAGGGCTGATATTCCTTTTTTTTTTTTTTTGTCGGTCGTGGGGCTTGAACTCTGGGCCTGAGCGCTGTCCCTCAGCTCTTCAGCTCAAGGCGAGCGCTCTACCACTTGAGCTACAGCGCCACTTCCAGTTTTCTGGTGGTTTATTGGAGATAGGAGTCTCACGGTCTTTCCTGCCCGGGCTGGCTTTGAACCGCAATCCTCAGATCTCAGCCTCCTGAGTAGCTAGGATTACAGGCGTGAGCCACCAGCGCCCGGTTTAGGGCTGATATTCTATCACTGAGCCACAGCTTCATTTTTGGCTTTTGGGTAGTTGATCGGAGGTAAGAATCGCATGGACTTTTCCTGACTGGACTGGCTTTGAACTACAATCCTCAGATTTCAGCCTCCCCAATAGCTAGGACTACAGGTGTAAGCCACCAGTGTCCGACCTTTTGCCTGCTTTTTCCATTGATTTAATCTCACTCTAAACTGTGGAGATGTGTGGAGAGTGGTTTCATAATCTGGCATAGAACCTGCAGAGCATGTTTTTTGGAGCCATGAGGAGAAAAGGGATGGACAGCCAGGAGAGAAGGTTCAAGTCTTGGGCAGAAACGCTGACTGAAATCTTCACTTGATGGACATTCTAGCTAAATAAGAAGTAAGCAGGAAAGGAAAATGAAAGGAAATAAAAAGCAAGGGTCTTTGAGCTTACATAGAACGTGATCTGATCATACAGGTTGGTGCCCATGGATGTCTTTGATGTGGCCTTGTTGATGCCCAAAAGTTCCCATTCTCCTTTGGCCTGAACATCATCCCGGGATGCATCTACTATTTCCCATGCTTCTTTCTCCATGCCCAGAAGCATGTTATCCACTGAAAGGGAGCATCATCCAGATTAGGCTCAACTGCACTTTTCCCATGTGCTTACGCTTGTGTGTGTGTGTGTGTGTGTGTGTGTTGGTACTGGGACTTGAATTCAGGACCTGGGTGCTGTCCCCTAGCTTCTTTGCTACCACTTGAGCCACCTCTCCACTTCCAGCTTTTTGCTTGTTATATTGAGGTTAGAGTCTTATAAGTTTCCTACCCATGCTGGCTTCAAACTGAGGCCCTCAAATCTCAGCCTCCAGAGTAACAAGGTTTATAAGTGTGAGCTACTGGTGCCTGGCTCTTTTTGTCTACCTTTTCATTCTACAAGTTTTTGGATCCTTACCATATGTGGAGAACTTTCTAGGGGTTGTGAATAGAAATGAACAGGACAGGCTTAGATTTGTTACTGAAAATATTTAAGCATCCATAGAGCCATATTCTTTCTTCCTCCTCCTCCTCTCTCTCCTTGGTCACCATTTACTCAAAGTTGTAAAAAATTTTTTTATTGTGATTAAGTGATTACATAAATTTTACAAATGTCATAGTATTGTGAGATAGTGATAGTTAAAGTCACAAACACATTCTAACCTTCATGAGGCAAATTGTCATTATCATGGTCTGTAAAGTTTGTGAATTCTATGAGCTTTGACAATACAGCTATTTCTTCCACATCGGGTGATAAGTACATTTCTTTCCTTTTACTTATCTGTGCCTTTATCCTTTTCATTCCCTCCCTCCCATCTCTGCCCTTGAGTTGCTTAGTTCGTTTTCATCAATGTCCAGTGCAGCTGATGGGTTCAAAGTTTCTTTCTATTTTATTTTTTCTTGCTTTGTTGATTGTTTTTAATCCATCCCACCCCTGAGGCCTCACTGTAACTTACCTGTGTACAGAAAAGAGCTGAAGGTGAGTGTGCAGTTTTGCTGATCAAATGGGAAGTAGAAGATGTCCAGGTTACACATACTGGCCACTTTCATGGGTTTCTTATACCTAATGCGGCCTTTATTACTTACAAATGCAGTGAGGTCTTCTGGGGTCTTATCTACATCCATGCTGTAAGACAGATGGAATGGTTTCTCTTATCATTCTGTTTTCTTTCTTTCTTTTTCTTCTTTTTAGCTTATACCAGTCCTGAAGCTTAAAACAGGGTCTCTGGGTATTGTTCCTTAGCTTTTCTTCACTCAAGGGTTAGCTAATTAATTAGATATATGAGTCTTATAAACTTTTTTTTTTGCCCAGGCTGGCTTGAAATCTCATTAGTAAGCTCTCAGCCTCCTGAGTGTGGGCTCCTCAGTACTCTGGTTGTTACTTAGCCATCTAAGATCACTTGTAGTGTTCCCAATGGAAGACTGTAAACTCTACCGATGCTAGAAGATAGGGCTTCCCTCTGGCTTTCCCCAGCACTTGATACATACAGTTCAACGATGAAAATGTCTGGGAGCCACAGGTTCTTGGTTGCCATACTGATTTTTGTGATGCCTTCACATTCCTCTGGGTTCCAGCTCATCAATGGATTATCCCAGACCTAGAGCCAGGGAGAAGTGTTAGGGGCGAGAGGTGGGGAAGGGGGAAAGGGGGAAGGGAAGCAAGAACCTGGCATGAGTTAGAGTTATTTTTCTCTCATCATTTGATTCCCTCCCTCCCTCCCTCCCTTCCTCCTTCCATCCCTCCCTCCCTCTCTCCCTCTCTCTTTCTCTCTCTCTCCCTCCCTCTCTCTCTGTCTCTGTCTGTCTGTCTGTCTGTCTGTCTGTCTGTCTGTCTCTCTCTCTCTCATGTCAGTCCTGAAGCTTGAACTCAGGGCCTGTGATCTGTTCCTGAGCATTTTTTTTAAGGCTAGCATTCTACTCCTTGAGCCACTTTGGGCCTGTGTTTAATTGGAGGTAAGAGTCTCATGGACTTCCTGCCTGGGCTGGCTTCAAACTGGGATCCTCAGATCTCAGGCTTGAGTAGCTAGGATTACAGGCATGAACTACTAGCACCCAGTTTGATATTTTTTTCTTTAAACAAAATCACAATATATTTTAAAGAAATAGAAAATTCTAGAGCTGGAGAGATTTAGCTCAGTGGTAGAGTGCCTATCTATCATGTATAAATCCTGGATTCAATTTGTAGCATAGAAAAAGTCTATAAAATAATATAATACATGTCCATCTACCATCCAATTTAATATTGTAATGAATTTACTTTTTAAACTTTTTTCTCTAGAAAAATCAGAATTAGGGCTGGGAAGGTGGCAAAGTGGTAAAGTGCTTGCCTCACATGCATGAGGCCCTAGGTTCGATTCCTCAACACCACATAAACAGAAAAGGCCGGAAGTGGCACTGTGGCTCAAGTGATAGAGTGCTAGCCTTGAGCTGAAAGAGCTCAGGGACAGTGTCCAGGCCCAGAGTTCAAGCCCCACAACCCCAACCCTCCCCCCCCCCCCCCCAAAACAAAACAAAACAAAACAAAAAAACCAATCAGAATTATAAATAAAATTGAACCTATCTTTTCTTTTCTTTTTATTTTCAGTAATGAAGATTGAATTCAGGGACTAGTGCCTGCTTACCACTTGAGCCATGCTCTAAGTCCTTTTGCTTTTATTTTTCTTTTCAAATAAAGTCTTGCTTGTGCTTTGCTCAGAGTGGTCTTGTACCATGATCTTCCTACCTTCATCTCCTGAGTAGCTGGGATTTACATGTGTGTGCCACCATGTCTGGCAGTATATCTATTTCTCTATCTATTTAGATCGCTTTGCTTTCTCACTACAGTGGGAAATGGTTGCTGATGGTATACATCCTCTTCTTTCTTCAGTTAAAATGAGATCCAGAGTTGAAAGATCAGGAACTCTGCTTCTTTGATCTATAATGTTCTTAGTGTGAAATAAGGGCAGTAATAGGGGTCAATTATGATTGTATGTAAACAGTAATGTTCAGAGGTTTATTTATTTATTTATTTTTGGGCTGGTTCTGGGGCTTGAATTCAGGGCTTCATGCTTTTACTTGGATTTTTGCTTCAAGGCTGGCTCTCTAGCACTTGAGCCAACAACTGTTTCTTGAGCTAGCAAAGTCTTCCGTGCCTTCTGAGTCTCTTCCACTGATTTTGTTACAAGGTGATTATAAACAAACCCTCGAGGCCAGGAGTCTTGGTGACTCTTTCCTGGGTGAGTGATAGATACCATTCTTACCTTTCTGATAACCAGTTCTCCTTTCCAAAGCTAGAAACATTTGTAAATGTCTTCAAGGATTATCCAGTCTGGAATGAGTTTATCTTTTTTTTTTTTTTTCCTGTGCTCTGTCCCTTAGTTTTTTTTTATTTTATTTACTTAAGGTTAGCTCTCTACTACTTGACTCTACTTCTGTTGGTTCCTTCATTTGTTTGTTCCTTTCTTCCTTCCTTCTTTCCTTCCTCCCTCCCTCTCTCCCCCTTCCTTCCTTCCTTCCTTCCTTCCTTCCTTCCTTCCTTCCTTCTTTCCTTCTTTTTTTTTTTTCTTTTTAAATTTCTTTTCTTTTTGCTAGTTAATTGGAGATAAGAATCTCATGGACTTTCCAGCCTGGACTGCCTTCAAACCGTGATCCTCAGATCTCAGCTTCCTGAGTAGCAAGGATTATAGGCGTGAGTCTCTAGTATCCAGCCTTCTTTTCATTTTATGAAAGCAGAGTATTGAAGTCTCTCACCTTTACTGCAGAGTTTTCAAATTTTTCTTTCTGTGTTTCAAAGCTATATTGTTGGGTGTATAATGTGTTATGATGACTATAACTTTGTTTAAAATAGATTCTGGCTGTAGAAGAATAAGTGTTGGCCATACCATTTCCAGCCACAGGAATGATGACATGAGCTGTAGTTGTTCATCCTGCCAAAAGAATTTCCTGTTTCTAGCAGTTGCCTGTAAGATGTCCATTCATCCTCTCCCCTCCTCTCCCCCTTGTTGTTTGCCCTGCCCCTTGAGTATGAACATGATGTGTTCAAAGGCAATATTTGAGGTCAAAGACAATTAAAAAATCAAAATAGATATATTGGTCTGGGCAGGACACTTCACAGCAGGGCTGAAGTAAAGTATTGTTTTTCAACCTTGGATCCATTAGAATAAGTTAAGGAGCTGAGAATATAAATTTGTGGGTTCTAGATAATCAGGACCTCTGCAGGTAGATTCTGGACACTGGTTGGCAGCCAGAGTAGAGATTCACTGGGGAGGAAAAAAAATCTCTTCCATGTGAATTGGACAGAGCTTTTTATTTAAATTTAGATTTTCTGTGCAAGGGAAATGCCATATAGTAATGTGATTGGGGACTCTGGGGACCCCCCTGTTGGGGCTGGGAAAATGTTAAGGACCCCAAGTGGAAGGGTTAACACTCACCACATCTAGGATGGCAGTTATGGTGAAGGAGATGTTGACTTGGACGGGGTTAGTGAAGGTGATGATGGGCAAAGCCTTTCTAACAAACACAGGATGCACATCAGTTGGATCCAACCCATGCTGGCCAAACCCTGAGCAGTTGATGGTATAAGCGCTGCCCCATCCTGCAGAAAATATCAGATGTGTGAGACAAGGGAGAGAACTCTCATGTTTTCTGTATGAGAGAGAGCCCAAGGCAGAGCCTGGGATCCCATAATAATCACGATGGCTACTGTGTATTGAGCATTGATTATGAGCCAGGTATATGTTGAGATCTTTAAACACATTATTCTCATTAGTCCTCTCAATCCCCTATCAGATTCTATTTTTTCTTTATAACTTTATGATTTTTTTTTTTTCGGAGACAATGTCTTGCTCTGTACCTTTAACTCACAATTCTTCTGAGTGCTGGGATTGCATATTTCTTTTTCTTTTTCTCTTAGTTTTTATTGGTCCTGGGATTTGAACTCAGGGCTTTGGCACTGTCCCTGAGCCTCTGTGCCCAAGGCTAGTAATCTTACCACTTGAGCCCCAGCTCTACTTTCGGCCTTTTCTGAGTAGTGTATTGGAGATAACAGTCTCATGAACTTTTCTAACTAGGCTGTCTTTGAACTATGATCCTCACATCTCAGCCTCCTGAATAGCTAGTAGTACAGGCATGAGTCACTAGCACCAGCTTGCATATTTCTTAATATGTTTTATTTTGTGACATATTTTATTCCTAGTCTATATATGTCAATGCTTCATTTACCAGCAATAGCAGTCTCCCTCCTCCCTATCTCCTGGTATTGGGGTTTGAACTCAGTCTTGCATTTGCTAGACTAGTGCTCTATCACTTGAGCCACACTTCTTGCCCCATTTTTGATGACTATAATTGAGATTGGATCTCACTTCCTGCCTGGCATGCACATGTGGTATTATCTGTCAATAGTCTTGTATACCAAGTATTAGGCTTCCTGTTGTTGCTGGGATCATAGTTGTGCATCACTGCATCTAGTTTCCCTCCCATGGATATAGGGCTGGCCTGGATCTGAGATTTTTCCAAGTTTCAGTCTCCCACATAGTTGGGCTGACAATTATGTACTACCGTGCCCAGCAATGGGAGCCAATGGTTAAGATGAGGTCTCTCAAAGTTTTTTGTCCAGGCTAGCCCAGATTTCTGTTATCTCAGCTTCCAAAGTAGCTAGGATTACAGGTATAAGCCACCAGCGCCTGGCCAGTACTTTATTTTAATTTTTAATTTATTATTTTATTTTATTTTGTGCAGGTCCTGGGGCTTGAACTCAGGCTTGGGCACTAAGCTTCTCTTAGTCAAGACTAATACTCTACCACTTGAGCCACAGCTCCACTTTTTTTTTTTTTTTTTGTCATGGGGCCTGAACTCTGGGCCTGGGCGCTGTCCCTCAGCTCTTCAGCTCAAGGCTAGCGCTCTACCACTTGAGCCACAGTTCCACTTCTAGCCTTTTCTGCTTATGTGGTGCTAAAGAAAAGAACCCAGGGCCTCATGCATGCGAGGCAAGCGCTCTACCACTGAGCCACCTTCCTAGCCCCACAGCTTCACTTCTGACTTTTGTAGTTTATTGAAGATAAGGGACTCATGGGCTTCTCTGCCTAGGCTAGCCTCAAACACTGATTCTCAGATCTCAACCTATTGAGTAGCTAGGATTACAGGTGTGAGCTGCTGACACTTGTTTTTTTTAATGGACATGTTAGAGTGTAACATTTCAATACACAGACACTAGGTGTAATAAATCAAAGTACATGGTACATCCATCACCTCTGACATTTATCATTTCTTTGCATTGGGAACATTCAAAATGTTCTCTGTTAGCTACTATGAAATATACTATTAATTGTTGTCAACTACTGTGCTATAGAACATTAGCGGAGTTACTCCTATCCGACTGTACTCCTGTCTCATTAACCATCCTTTGTCCATCCCATTAATCCCCTTATTTTACTCCCTACTTCTAGGAGAAGATGGATATTGATTGTTATTATTATTATTATTGGTTATTATAAAGATGATATACAGAGGGGTTACAGTTACGTAGGTCAGGTAATGAGTACATTTCTTTTTGAACAATGTTACTCCTTCCCTCACTAAGATACTGTTTTTATCTTCAGGTAACACATGAGTTAACTAAGATGGAATAAGAGGAGGCAACCTCTCAGGGTCAGCCCTAATAAGAGGCAGAAGCTGGACTTGGTCTGCTGCTAGCCATCTGCCCTCCCTGAAGAGATGAGGAATGGGGGTGGGGACACTTAGAGGAGTTCAGGTGCTAGACACTTCCTGCCATTGCTGAGGGGGATGGGCTGGACTGGAGGCAAATGATGGAAGCCAATGTAGTAAGCTGTTAGGGTATCCGCTTTCTTTGTAGTACTTGTCTCCATGCTTTGCATGACCAAATTTGTATGCAAATTGCAACTGGGTCAGTAACAGGCATGAGATCGGATTACAGTGTCAGTCTCTAAAGAGCACATCTCTTTCCTTCCTTCCATCCTTCCTTCTTTCCTTCCTTCCTTCCATCCTTTCCTCTTTTTTTTTTTTTGTCCGTAGTGGGGCTTGAACTCTGGGCCTGAGCTCTGTCTCTCAGCTCTTCAGCTCATGGCTAGTGATCTACCACTTGAGCCTCAGTGCCACTTCTGGTTTTCTGAGTGGTTTATTGGAGATAAGAGTGTCATGGACTTTCCTGCTCAGGCTGGCTTTGAACCAGGATCCTCAGATCTCAGCCTCCTGAGTAGATAGGATTACAGGCATGAGCCACCCGTGCCAGCTTACCTACCTTCATTCCTTTGTTCCTTTGTTCCTTCCTTCCTCTTCCTTTCTTTTTCTTTCTTTCTTTCTTTCTCGCTTTCTTTTTCTCTCGTTCTCTTTCCTTTTTTCTCTCTCTCTTTCTTTCTTCCTTCCTCTCTCTTTCTTTCTCTTTTTTTCTCTTTCTCTTTCTCTCTCTCCCTTCCTTCCTTCCTTCCTTCCTTTCTTTCTCTTTCTCTTTCTTTCTTTCTTCCTTCCTCTCTCTTTCTTTCTTTCTCTTTCTCTCTTTCTCTCTCTCTCCCTTTCTTTCTTTCTTTCTCTTTCTCTTTCTTTCTTTCTTCCTCTTCCTTTCTCTTTCTCTCTCCCTTTCTTTTCTACTTTCTTTCTTTCTTGTTTTTAAAATTTAATAGAATTTATTACTAATTTCAGAAAACAAAGCAACTAATACATAATTTGAATAACAAAATAGCCTCTCTTATTTTTAAATATAATGAATTTATATAGCAGCATGCTTGCTGAAAACAATATATTTCCATTCATTTAAAAATGTATCAATAAAATATGTAATAAAGTATAATTTGTGGTATAAGTATAAACTAGCCAATTTATCTCCATTACCTATGTTCTATCTTATTTTTATAGTGTTTTAAATCATTGATGAATGCAGAAATATATATTTACAGGGAATTCTCAAAAAGAATGATTCAATTCAATATAGTTATTTCATACTTCATCAGCATTTTCTTTGTGTTCTGGATCCAACATCAGGGAATGGACTAGCCCTTGGCTGGCTATTCAGAACTGCTAGTAATTGTAAAGTATTTCTGATAGATAGATGTCTCTAAATTATTTCTTGTACATAGTGCAGCCTTTCGTTGAGGTGCTCAAGGTCTTTCTTTCTTTCTTTCCTCTCTCTCTCTCTCCCTCTCTCCCTCTTTCCCTCCCTCCTTCCCTCCCTCCCTCCCTCCTCCCTCCCCCCCCCCCTCTCTCTCAGGTACCAGCTTAGATTTTTTTTTGCTCAAGGCTGTCTCTACCACTTGAGCCATACCTCCACTTTTGGATATTTGCTGGTTAATTGGAGATAAGAGTCTCTCAGATATTTTCCTGGGTTGGCTTTGAAATGTAATCCTCAGATCCTAGTTTCTTGAGTAGCAAGGGCCAGAGGTGATTGAGTCTATTTTCACTTGACTGTTCCAATTATCTTCTTCCCTTCCTACTGTTCAGCCTTATTATTAGCTTTCTAGTTTGAGGAGTTGAAATGTGCCCGCTCATCTCTTCTAACTTCTAAAGGTTCATTGTTTTGTATGGATGGAAATTTGTTAGAGGAGCTACAACCTAGAATGAGAGAGATAGCTGATGATTTTTCAACCTTATCCATTCTCAAAGTCACAATGATCTCCAGAAAACCCATGAATCATTCTCTGTACAGTCAAATCCATTTGCCATTAGCTCTTTGCAAGTGTTCAAAGGATATATAATATATATAATATATAATGTTTACTATTTTCTGGACTAACTGTGTAATTTGTGTCTCTTCCCTTTACTGGCCTATAAAGCCACCTCTGTGCTAGGCACTGGTAGCTCATGTTTGTAAATCTAGCTATTCAAGATGGTGAAACCTGAGGGTCTTAGTTCAAAGTCAACCTGGGCAAACAAATCCAAGAAACTCTTTTTTTTTTTTTTTTTTGCCAGCCCTGGAGCTTGAACTCAGGCACTGTCCCTGAGCTTCTTTTGCTCAAGGCTAGCACTCTACCATTTGTGCCACATTGCCACTTCTGGACTTTTCTGTTTATATGGTCCTGAGGAATTGAACCCTGGGCTTCATGAATGCTGCTAGGCAAGCACTCTACCACTGAGTCACATTCCCAGCTCCACAGCCCCAGAAAACTCTTATCTTCAGTTAACCAACAAAAAGCCAGAAGTGGAGTTATAGCTTAAATGGTACAGCACCAGCTTTGAAGTGAACAAGCTAAGCAAGAGTTCAAGGCTTTGAGTTCAATCTCTAGTACCAGCACACACACACACACACACACACACACACACACACACACACACACACACACACACACACACCCCAAAGCCACCTCTGGTTCTGTCTTCTCCATTGTCCCTAACCTAGTGCCTCATATTTGATAGGTGCCACTAAAGATTACATTTATTTATTTACTATGCTGTATAATTTCCTTCATCACAACCTTTTACAATCTTTTACAGATGAGAAAACTGGAGCTCAGATCAAATTAAGAAACTCATCCAGGGCTGGGAAGGTGGCTCAGTGGTAGAGCACTTGCCTTGCATACTCGAGGTCCTGGGTTCGATTCCTCAGCACCACATAAGAAAAAAGCCAGAAGTGGCACTGTGGCTCAAGTGGTAGAGCTAGCCTTGAGCTGAAGAGCTGAGGGACAGCGCCCAGGCACAGAGTTCAGGCCCCACGACCAGACCCAAAAAAAAAAAAAAAAAAAGAAAAAAAAATTCATCCAAGGCTACACAACTGACAAAATGAAGGGACATGAATCAGAGTCTGTTCTGCCTATTTCTGAGTCCTATATTTTTCCCACTGCACATGTGAACTCCCTGGAAGAGATGCACACTCTACTTTCTCCTTGACCTGCTGACCTTCAGCATCTTAACTAGCTAGAGCACTTGGACAGAGCAGCTGCATGGCAAAGATGTGGCTAAAGTAGCTAGGCACTTTGCTATGGCCACAGGATAGTGGAACAGAGAAAGAATTATACCTGTGAGTAGAAAGATGGATGAAAGAGAATATAATTGTGGATAGTTCAAGGGAAGAAGAGAAGTACTAATTGGTGCTGAGCACTTGTGGCTCATACCTGTAATCCCAGCTACTTAGGAAGCTGAGATCTAAGGACTGAGGTTTGAACGCAGGAAACTCTGTGAGACTCTTCCCCGATCCCTCTGCAACCCCCAAGTCTTAGGGCTTAAACTCTAACTTTGGGCCTGGGCTCTCTCCCTGAGATTCTTTTTGCTCAAGGCTAGTGTCTACCACTTGAGCCACAGTGCCACCACTTCTGGCTTTTTCTGTTTATGTGGTACTGAGAATTGAACCCAGGGCTTCATGCATTCCAGTAGAGCACTCTACTACTAAGCCACATTCTCAGCCCTGTGAGACTCTTACCTCTAATAATCACCAAAAATACACAAGTGGAGCTGTGGCTAACATGGCAGAAGGCCAGCCTTGAGTGAAAAAGTTAAGGAACAGCACATAGGCCCTGAGTTCAAGCCCCAGTACCTGCATGTGTGAGAGGAGGGTGGGGAGAAGAGAAAGAGGAGCGAGCGAGCGAGAGAGAGAGAGAGAGAGAGAGAGAGAGAGAGAGAGAGGGGGGGGGGGGAAGGAGGGAGGGAGGAAGGCATAGTACAATTCTAGAAGAAAAATTTCTATCTTGGTGAAGAAAAATCTATTTGGGAATCATGGAAACATAGTTATGAAATAACTTTTCCCATTTTAGATAATCTCTAGGAATTAGAAATTGAAAAGTTCTTAGATGGTCTTCAGTAGGAGTGAGCTCTTCCACTCTTCCTTTGTCACTGGCCATTTCTTACCTTGAAGCAGAAGACTGAGAGCAAGGTAAAAGGGAAATCTCTGCATAGGGAGCCAGCTTCCTCCCATCTTCTTTGTCTAAAATCTTCTCAGAGCATGTGGCAGGACCCAGGAATACCCAGATTAAAGGAGCATGGGCCACACCTACAGCCCAAGTTTGAATATTGATAGCATTGGTTGACCACTTCCTGAAAGAGTGTTTTCACTTATGCTTGAGGTTCTCTTAGTCCTAGAAACTTTATTGCAGTGTGCATGGTTATAGACCGTTCATACTGACCCCATTCAGAACTGATTGCATTCTCTTAGTCTGAACATTTATCTCTGTAAGTTTGGAAAATTTCCAGCCATTTAAAAATGCCTCTATTCTTTCTCTTATTAGATATATATATTGTGTGTATATATATATATATATATATAATATATATATATCTAAAATAGAATGACTTCCATTTTATGTCTTTTTAATTTTTATTTTTTGGTGCTGGTACTAAGGCTTGAACTGGAGCACTTGGACACTATCCCTGAGTTCTTTTGCTCAAGGCTATCACTCTACCACTTGAGCCATAGCATCACTTCGGGCTTTTTTTTTTTTTTTCTGCTTATGTGGTGCTGAGGAATCGAACCCAGAGCCTCATGCATGCAAGGTAAGCACTCTACCACTGAGCCACCTTCTCAGCCCACTTTTTTGAGCTTTTAAAGGCCACCTGCATTTCTTGATTCATTTTCCTGTTTTTGTCACACTGCCTTCTCATCTCTCTAGTTCTCATTCTCTTCTATCTCCCATTTTGACTTATCAGAGCAGTTATGGGTACATTGGATCCATCTGGATAGTCCAGTTTCACAGCTGTTTTTTTTTTTTTTTTCTTGAAGTTGGTATGGGGTTGGAACTCTGGGTCTCAAGCTCCATTAGAATCTTTTACTCAAGGTTGGCATTCTACCACTTGAGCCACATCTCCACCTCCAGTTTTTTGCTAGTTATTTGGAGATAAGTATCTGATGGCCTTTTCTGTCTAAGCTGGCTTTGAACAATCTTCAATATCATTCAGCCTCCTAAGTAGCTAAGATTACAGGTGTGAGCCACCAGCACTTGGCTGGAATAATTTTTGAATGGTTTTGAAGTGCCTACCAAACTGCCCAATGTATTTATCTGAGAGAGAGCAAGGTAAAATTGTGTTCAGCTCATAAACAGCTTATGCCTGGGAAAAGGATTTACTTTTTGTTCTCTGTTTTGTTTTTGGTATGTTTATCAGATAAATTATAACCCATTGGAAATTTTGATTTTCTGGTCTATTTGGTGAAATGTATAAGTGGATTGATGGTTTTCGATGTCATATCCCTTTTGGGTGGAAAATGACAAAGGCTTTGCTTTATCAGTATTTTGTTTTTGTCCACTCTGTTCAAGCTCAAATCAAATGAGAATTACTATCTACTGGAAAGAGAATATTTCTTTGATATGGACCACTGAGTTTTGTGTTTACTCTCAATTGTGACTGAAAGTTTACAATTTAAACTATAAATTTTACCCAAATTACATTGACTTTCTATCATTCATAGACTTTACCTCTGATTGTGTAAGAAATGGAATGTTTTCTACCTCCAGATGGTGCTGTGTCAATTGTAAAATCTCTCTTTTAAAAATTGTGAAGTCTTTTTGTTTTTATATTTTTTTGTCAGTGGGGCTTAAACTCTGGGCTTGAGCACTGTCCCTGAGCTCTTCAGCTCAAGGTGAGCACTTTACCACTTGAGCCACAGAACCACTTCCGGTTTTCTGGTGGTTAATTGGAGCACCATCTCCAATTAACCACCAGAATACCAGTTGAGCCACAGCAACACTTCCGGTTTTCTGGTGGTTAAATTAACCTGGCTTTCTACCTCTCAGGGTTGCATGTTGGTGGAGCCTGGGGCACTCACACCTCCAGAGATCTCATCCATACAACTGGAAGTCCTGGGGGCTAGAGACAGCTTTCTCTCACATTCTGTATTGTCAGGAATGGGGAAACATAATTTCTCCATAGAAGTGAACTCCAGGCTTTGGTTACATGCATCCTGAGCAGTCTTTGGAAATTCAGACTCAATGATCAGACTCTCGTTAGCATTCTACTTTGGGGAAAATTTTTGTTTTTTCTCGAACTGGGCACAGCTGACTCACACCTGTAATCCTAGCGCTACTCTGGAGGCTGGGTGCTAAGGATCATGGTTCAAAGCCAGTCCGGAAAGTCTGAGAGACTTTTATCTCCAATAAACTATTCAGAAAAAGCCAGAAGTGGTGCTGTGGTTCAAGTGGTAGAGCATAAGCCTTGAGCATAAAGAGGCTCAGGGATTGGGCCCAGGTCTTGAGTTCAAGCCTCAGGACCAGCAGAAAAAAATAGAAGAAAAGAAAAGAAAAAAAATTCTCACTTTGGTGCTGTTGGTTTACACCTGTAATCCTAGCTATTCAGGGGGCTGAGAACTGAGGATTGTGGTTCAAAGTCTGTGAAACTTATCTCCAATTAACCACCAGAAAACCAGTAGTGGTGCTGTGTGGCTCAAGTAGTAGACCACTATCCTTGAGCACTTTGCTCAAGGACAGCACCCAGGCCCTGAGTACAACCCCTCCCCCCCAAAAAAATCTCTCTTCTAATCCCAACTGGAATGATTGGTGAGTATTATTCAATCAGATCCTTAGGTATATTAGTTATTTTTCAGTTTCCTAAGGTATGTCATCTATATTTGATTCCATCCAGTTTTATATTGATTTTGAAGCAGTGAGAGGTGCACTATAAAAAGAAATAAAAAGTAGCCTCTGAAGTCTAGAGTGAGTTGAACACTCCATGGTCAGTTTGCTTTCCCATTACACATAAAAGAATTCAGGAAATTCTAACATAAGACATGAATTTTTAAGACTATGATGAGACAAAATGAAATAGTTATTCACAGTTTTGTCTTAAGCTACACATAATGAAGTGGACATAACACTATACTCACAAATAAAATGCCAAATATTCCTCTCTCTTGCTAAATGAATGACAGCTATTTTTTTAAAATCTGTTAATTCTCATTTCTGATGATATTCAATCTTTATTTTTTCTTAGATTGTCCCCAAGTCACCTCATTAAAGTTTCTTCTTTTTCTTCTCCTACTCCTTTTTCCTCTTCTTCTTTCTGCTCCTCTTCTTCTTTCTCCTCTCCCCTCCTTCTCCATCTTTACTCTTGATGCTGGTTCTAGGGCCTGGTGCTTGTCCCTGAGCTTTTGTGTTCAAGGCCAGCACTCTACCATTTGAGTCATAGCTCCACTCTGACTTTTTGGTAGTTTATTGGAGATAAGAGTTTCATGGACTTTCCTGTACCAGCTGGCTTTGAACTATGATCTTCTGATATAAGCCTCTTGAGGTGCTAGGATTATAGGAGTAAGCCACTAACACCTGGCTATGTTCTAAAACTTCTGAATAATAAAGTAAATACTGGAAGAGGGCAAGGCAAGGGGTGATATTGTCCAAAAAGAAATGTACTCATTACCTGACTTATATAACTGGATTCCTTTCTATCATCTTCATAGTAACAATTTTTTTTTGTAGGGCCTGAACTCTGGGCCTGGGCACTGTCCCTCAGCTCTTCAGCTCAAGGCTAGCGCTCTACCACTTGAGCCACAGCACCACTTGTGGCTTTTTCTGCTTATGCAGTTCTGAGGAATCAAACCCAGGGCCTCATGCATGCAAGGCAAGCACTCTACCACTGAGCCACCTTCCCAGGACTCATAATAACAATTTTTAAAAAAGAAATCAGTGAGTAATAAAACCTACTTATGTAACTCTAGGTGTATTTATGGTGGCCTTTGGTAGAGGAACACTGACAAATGAAATGGTCACATTCTCCAAATTCCTGTCACTGTCATATCACCAATCACTGCCTTGAGTATCAAAGCAGATAAATGAAAAACTCATGAATCACTGATAACTGATTAACTTAATAAAAGAAAGGGAAAATTATTATTTTAGAATGTTAATGAATAAAAGAAATGACAGAATTAGAAAATCACAAATTTGTTAAAAAAAAATCTCAGAGCAAAAGCTGCTGAATCTCACAAGACTAGTCACACTGCATACCTTTGAACTTCTGGACACATCTTCTTAATTCCATCTCATTGTGAGCTGGGTGCATCATTTCCAGGAGACACTGGTCATAGGTAGAATCTATGGCTAATACCTCCAAAGTACCTCCCTGCTCATAATGATATTTGCTTCCTTCCAGGGAAGTGCCAAGATCTCAGGCTTGAAAGTCGGTGTCCTTGTATCTTCTGGTGTCCAGTCCTGCCGGTGGGGAACAGGGATTGCATGACCATATATTCCCATAAACCATTTGTATTTTTCAAGATGTGTTCATGCATGCACTTGAGATTAATATTTTTGTAGCATCCCTATTTCAATAAGAGACCTTTTTCTGGGGTGAGTACCCATAAACCATTTGTATTTTTCAAGATGTGTTCATGCATGCACTTGAGATTAATATTTTTGTAACATCCCTATTTCAATAAGAGACCTTTTTCTGGGGTGAGTAGTTCATCCAACTCCATTGGCATAGATGGTCAGAACAGTCATTAGAGAACTGAGCTTCCTCCAGGATTGTCTTGAACTAAGTTTTGGAGACTGCAGGTCAGATTCCCACTTAGAGAAAATTCCTGTTGCAGGTCTTCCTGGAGCTTGGCCACTGCCTCCAACAAGCATCTCACCAGAGAGAGGAGAGGTCACCTGTCTCTGTTATCCACATTGATTTTCATCTTATTTCATTTTTCAGGAACCTGGCAGGACTAGCAACAGGCAAGCAGGAAGTCCAGTATGAGTTGGAGAAGCAGCTAGACTCTCGGGCAGCCACCCCATGGCCAGTCTGCCTTGGGAGGCGTAGGCTCCTAGGCTTTCAATCTGCCATAGTGGGGAGGAAGAGGGAGGAGAAGGAGCTGGGTAAGGAGGACTGAGGGTAAGACTAACACAGGCAGCGCCACAGTCCACTGCGCCCATCGCCCAGTGCAGGCTCCAAACCCTTCGCTGGTCAATGCGTGTTCTGCACGCCCCGCCCGCTCCCGGTAGCCTGCTCCTCTAGAAGGGGAACCAGGGAACCGAGCCCATCGCTCGCCCCAGGCAGCCAGGCTCCTCCCGCTTGCACTAGGGCCAAGCCAAGTCCCCTGTCCTACACTGCTGGCTACATTAGGCTTGCACTGGGGCCAACTCAAGTCCCCTGTCCTACACTGCTGGCTACATGAGGCTCGACGTGCATCTGCTTGGCTCCTCTTTGTGACCAGAACCCGGACTTAGACTTTTTTTTTTTTTTAACAATTGGAATATCACAGGCTTTATTTTGCATTTATAAATAGTTCTTGCTGTCAGGGCGAGATACGGAATGCAAGCTTTATCTCCACGTCTGCTTTTTTTTTTTTTTTTTTTTTGATCTGTGTTGTGTGTGGGAGTGGGGGTGGGGGTGGGGACCTTGGGTTGAACTCAGAGCTTCATGCTCTTTCTTGGCTTGCTTGCATAGCCAAGCTCTTCCACTTGACCTTAATGCCATGCTTGCTAACGGGAGACGGAGGCTTGTGAATTCTCCTTCCCCATCCCTTTGGACAGCCTTTAAAGCAGGATCTTCCCATCTTAGCCTCCTGAGTAGCTAGGATTGCAGGCGTGCAACCACTGGCCCAGAGCCCTGCTCAGTGAGCTCGTTTGACTCCCAGGTGCGCGCGTGTTGATCAGCGTTGCTTGCGCACGAATGTTCTGTCAACTACCGTTGATAGTTTCAATACCACAGAGCATCGCTGTTAGGATGTTGTGGTGTGTGAGATGAAGTTGGCTAACTTAGAAATGCTTGTGTTGGGTTTCAAGGGAAGTGAAAGGCCTACAGGGAAGGAAGGGATCTCTAAGATTCGTAGCTTCAGCCATGAAGAAAATATTTGGCTTTGGGATTAAGGAGAGGACACCTTTGGGCTTCTGCGATGGCAATAGGAGTACCTCCCTGCAATCTGGGAATGAAAATATTGATAGCCACTATTGGCGAAATTTCTATGCCAAATACAAACCTAAGGAAAAGCTGCACAAGGCTGCAAGCACAGGGAAAGTAGAGAAATTGGTATCTATCCTTGATAGTGGGAAAATCCATGTGGATAACAGAGACAAGAAGAACAGGTAATAGGGCCTGCTAAGGAGGGTATGAGCTGGGGGAGTGGGTGGTGGTCAGTGGGAGGAAGAATACAGGGGTGGGCTGACTTCCCACTGCAGGCTCTTTAGCACACACTTGCACCCAGACTATCTTTCTGAACAGCAGAACAAGATCAAAGCTTTCCTAGTTTTCCCATCCTTACATCACCATCTTGCAATGACTTAAAACTGTCTTAACTAACACAGTTAAGTGCAAGTAAGAGGTTAGTTTAATGTATGCATTTTAATGGCTTTTAACCATAATAGAAAAGTAAATGAAATATGAACCCTAATGCATCCACTTCACACCTAAAAATTCTTCAAATAATATTCATCAGCATTTTTACAACAGTGTATATCCATGTCTATGTGTCCTTTACTGTTTGGAGGGGGCTAAGAAAAAAACTTTGAGACAGAAAGATGGCCCTTCCTCTTGCACTGAGAGCAGTGGGTACCTGATCAGCCTCTGCCACTATCTATTGTTGTGTCTGGGTGGTCCTGGGCCTTGAGACTGTCAGGTAGGATGTTGATAGTGGCCCAAATGCTAATTGTTACTCAATGGGACCCTGTTTAAATGGTACCTACTGAGGCTCAAAGTCTTGTGCCTAGTCCCTGGCTCCAAGGTTTTATGTATTTATTTCATTGTTTGTGTGTGTGTGTGTGTGTGTGTGTGTGTGTGTGTGTGTGTGTGTGTGCTGGTTCTAGGCTTAAACTCAGGGCCCAGTCGTTAGCTTTTTCTTCTCAAGACTGGGGCTCTACCAGTTGAATCACAGCTCCACTTCTTTCAGCTTTTTGGTGGTTAATTGGAGATAAGACTCTCACATTTTTCTACCTGTGCTGGCTTGCAACTGCAAGCTTCAGATTTCAGCCTTCTGAGTACCTAAGATTACAGGTATGAGCCACTTGCACCCAGCAAACTCCATGTTTTTGAGTAGGAAGATTCAATAATTGACAAATGTGAGCTCTTTATGTGCTTATTAATTTTACATGAACCAAAAAAATGTTTGAATAAACCTACATTCGCCTTTTGAAGTATCAAAATATGCAACTAGTTTTTACATAGGAATCAATTCACCATAGCCCAAAAGAGATCAAAGCAGAAAACAATAGAAAATCTATACTACTGTCATAATATTTTTAAGAAAAGGAGATTTATTCATGAATGAAATAACTTAACTGGAGAAAATGACTAGATTTTTATGATTGAAAATAACTCCCTAAAGAAAGATAAATATTTTAAGTAATACAAAATAAGTAGTGGAGCAAAAAGAAAAGTCAATTTATACAATTTTATGTTGTAAAAGAACTTCTTATAAATGTCCTCAAAAGAAAGTATTTCTTTTGGCTTCCCTCCCACTCCCATTCCTTCCATTGGCAGATGAATAACACACTTAATAACCACACCCAGGCCAGGTGCCAGTGGCTCACACCTATAATCCTAGCTACTCAGGAGGCTGAGATCTGAGGATCATGGTTCAAAGCCAGCCTGGGCAGGAAAGTCTGTGAGACTCTTATCTCCAATAAACCACAGAAAACCAGAAGTGGCGATGTGGCTCAAGTGGTAGAGTGCTAGCCTTGAGCTGAAAAACTGAGGGACAGAGCCCAGGCCCAGAGTTCAAGCCCCATGACCAACAACCCCCTCCCCCCCTGAAAAAAACCACGCACACTGAACACACACTGAACCACACCCACAGCCTAAAAGCAGATTACCTAAAGGTAGATTTATCATAAGAAAAGTAAGATGTATTATAGAAAACAATGCAATATCCTGCAACACATATTTCTCATCTATCTCCATTTATCTCCTGGGCACTGTCCCTAAGCTTTTTACTCAAGGTTAGGACTACTTACCACTTGAGCCACAGCTCCACATCTGGCTGTTTGGTGGTTAAGTGGAGATAAGAGTCTCATAAATTTTTTCCCCCTGAGCTGCCTTCAAACCAGGATCCTCAGATCTCAGCCTTTTGTGTAGCTAGGATTGTAGGTATGAACCCTGCACCTGGCTCTATCTCAATTTTGATGAGAATTCTTTCTATGAATAAGGAAAAGACTTTTTATTTAGTCATTGGTGATTGGAATCAATTCCAGAGCTGCCTCTATATTTGGTGAGCTATATACACCTTCAACTCCTCAACTGTGATCTTTGAAAGATCTATAGGTAACTTTTTTTTTTTTTTTTGGGTCCGGTCGTGGGGCCTGAACTCTGGGCCTGGGCGCTGTCCCTCAGCTCTTCAGCTCAAGGCTAGTGCTCTTCCACTTGAGCCACAGTGCCACTTCTGGCTTTTTTCTTTTTGCTTATGTGGTGCTGAGGAATCGAACCCAGGGCCTCAGGCATGCAAGGCAAACGCTCTACCACTGAGCCATCTTCCCAGCCCCGATCTATAGGTAATTTATGGATATACAAAGCAATATTTAGTGTCCTGGGTAAGAGAAGGAGTTTAAGTTAAATAAAGAATTGAATGCTGTTTTCAGATTAAGAACTGGGAGGATGAGGAGCGTTGGTAATTATGTTGCTGCATGAAGTTTAAGTTGCTCATGATGTTTTTTCAAATAGACAATTTAAGGATAACTACTGTATCAGATTTGAAAACTGTCCATATCACTATCCATCAATTACATTATCCTAAAATGAGAGATACAGATGATTGGTTCTCCTCAGAAGTGATCAAAATATGTCCTATAAATAAAATATATCCTATAAAAGTTGCAATGCTTCACAGGATGGAATGATACATCATCTCTGAAGATGGTACAGATGAATGTTACCATGAAAAGACAGGCTGCATTAACCAAGTGACAAAAAGTCAAGTTGATTATATAAACTTTAGCCAAAGATACATACAAAATGTGTTGTGTGAAACTTTCTCTTCTTATATCTACCACTTACAAGTTTATTGGTCTGGGAATGTGGCTCAGTGGTAGAGTGCTTGCCTTGCATGCATGAAGCCCTGGGTTCAATTCCTTAGTACCACATAAACAGAAAAAACCGGAAGTGACACTGTGACTCAAGTGGTAGTGTGCTAGCTTTGAACAAATGAAGCTTAGGGACAGCACCAAGCCCTGATTTCAAGCCCCAGGACTGGTAACAAATAATAAAAAAAGTTTATTATTTAGTTTCCAGTATTTAAGGTTTATCATTACTTTTTTGTTTCTGACTTAGTTGGTTCCTATTCTGGGTATGTAGCTCAATAGCAGAGCACTTGCCTAGCATACAGGAGGTTGTGAGTTCTATTCCCAGCTTCACACGTATACAAAAACAATGCAATCAGGTAGGCTGCTTTTTTCTTCAATAGTATGAGTGACAACAGCTTATAGTATCCTTTCTTCAGAAGAAAATCAAATATTTCTTTAGAAAGCAATGGAATGACATGCCAGTACAATATTTACAATGGCATAAGTAATTGTGTATTTGGAGATAATGATCCGTGATTCCATTAAAAAAAAATCCCTTTCATTTCCACAGGACTGCTCTGCATTTTGCCTGTGCTTGTGGCCATGTCAAAGTGGTGACCTTCCTAATCGCCAATGATTGTGAGATTGACCTTTGTGACAGCGACAACAGCACTGCACTGATTAAGGTAGACTGGAACCATTGCTTTCAGTGTGAGATGGATTTGATTTAAATGCTTAGAAGAAAAAAATGTAGGACTGGGAAGGTGGCTCAGTGGTAGAGTGCTTGCCTTGCATGCCTGAGGCCCTGGGTTCGATTCCTCAGCACCACATAAGCAAAAAGAAAAAAAGCCGGAAGTGGCGCTGTGGCTCAGGTGGTAGAGCCCTAGACTTGAGCTGAAGAGCTGAGGGACAGTGCCCAGGCCCAGAGCTCAGGCCCCATGACCGGACCCAAAAAAAAAAAAAAAAAAGAAAAAAAAAAGAAAAAAATGTATCTCATTTAAAGCTTTCAAATTTGTTAAATTTAGGGAATTTTTTCTTGAACTCACTGAGTCCACTGTCTGTGTTCAATACTCTCAGGCTGTACAATGCCAGGAAGAGGAGTGTGCAACCATTTTACTAAAGCATGGCGCTGATTCAAACATTGAAGATGTCAGCGGCTTCACTGCCCTTCATTACGCTGTCTGCAATGGGAATAGTCCAATGGTTACCAAGCTGCTTGCATATAATGCAAACATCGAAGCAAAGACTAAGGTATAGAACACTTAACTTTGATTCTAAAATATTTGAAATACCTGTGTTTTACTAGTGACAAAAGGGTTTATTTTCTGTGTTTAGAAGCTTGGCCATTTGCTCAATAAAAATATTTTGAAATGATGTAAATGTTGAAGATGTCACTTTAAATATTGCTGTTTAAAAGCAGCCTTAGGGCTGGGAATGTGGCTTATTGATAGAGTGCTTGCCTAGCATGCATGAAGCCCTGGGTTTGGTTGCTCAGCACCTCATAAACAGAAAATGCCAGAAGTGGTACTGTGGCTCAAGTGGTAGAGTGCTAGCCTTGAGTGAAAGAAGCTCAGGGACAGTGCCCAGACCCTGAGTTCAAGCCCAGGACTGGCAAAAAATAAAAGCAAGCCGGGCACCAGTAGCTCATGCCTATAATCCTAGCTACTCAGGAGGCTGAAATCTGAGGATTGTGGTTCAAAGCCAGCCCAGAGAGGAAAGTCTGTGAGACTCTTATCTATAATTAACAACTCAAAAACTGGAAGTGGTGTTATGGCTCAAGAGCTAGAGAGCTAGACTTGAGCTGAAGAATCCAGGGACAGCACCCAGGCCGAGAGTTCAAGCCCCATGACCGACAAAAGAACAAACAAACAACAACAACAAAAAACCCCCAGCATTAGAAGGTTCAGCCTTTCTTCTATGCATTGTAACAAATTCATATGAAAACACTGAAGGGTTGTTTTGTTTTTCTTTTTCCATTCTTCTAATTCTAGCTTTTTTGGTGATTAACTGGAGATAAGAGTCTCTCAGACTTATCTGCTCAGGCTGACCTTGAATCTCAATCCTCAGATCTCAGCCTCTGAGTAACTAGACACGAATAGCCAGAAACCAGCAGTATTTTTAAACTTTTCTTTATCTAGCTTATAAATAATACATATAGATTGGTTTTAAATATATATATATATATATTTTTTTTTTTGGTTGGTTGTGGGTATTGAACTCAGGGTTGGGTGCTATCCTAATGTTCAAGGCTAACATTCTACCACTGAGCTACAGCTCAACTTCTGGTTTTCTAGTGGTTAACTGTGGATAAGAATCTCATGGAGGGGCTGGGATGATGGCTCAGTGGTAGAGTGCTTGCCTTGCATGCATGAGGCCCTGGGTTCAATTCCTTAGCACTGCATAAGCAGAAAAAGTGGTAGAGCACTAGCCTTGAGCTGAAGAGCTGAGGGACATCGCCCAGGCCCAGAGTTCAGGCCCACGACTGACAACAACAACAACAAAAAGAATCTCATGGACTTTCCTGCCCAGGCTGGCTTTGAATAACAATCCTCACATCTCAGCCTCCTTAGTAGCTAAGATTACAGGCATGAGCTACCAGTGTCTGGTAGCTTTAGAATTTTTACTGATAAGCTATGTTCTTTTTATTTGTGATTTATACTTTACCAAAAATAAAAAGAATAACTCAAGGCAGTAATTAAAATGGAGCAAGAATAAAAATGGATTCAGTAGATTAGCCTGACACATGTCTTTAATCCAGCATTCAGGAGTAGAAGGCAGGAGAATCATGAAATCCAAGCCAACCTTGGATACGTAGGGAGATCCATGTTTCAATAAATAAACAAGCAAGCAAGCACATAAATAAACAAAAGGAATGCATCCCAGAATTATCTTAAGAATAAAATTAGGTATGGAGCTTAGTAAGAACTTGGTAAGAATGTTTCACCTTAGCTGGGCACTGGTGGCTCATACCTGTAATCTTAGCTATACAAGAGACTGAGATCTGAGGATCATGGTTCAAAGCCAGCCTGGGCAGAAAAGTCCGTGAGACTCTTCTCTCCAATTAATCGCCAGAAAACTGGGAGTGGAGCTGTGGCTCAAGTGAGCTAAAGAGCTCAGGGACAGTGCCTAGGCCCAGAGTTCAAGTCCCATGACTCTCACACACACACACACACACACACACACACACACACACACACACAAAAGAATGTTTCATCTTATGATGGATGAACTCCACAGACTTTTTAGTAATACGAATTCAAAGTTTCTTCGAAGCCTATATCATTTAATTTAGTGATTTTTTTTGAGGCAAGTATCTGAAATCCTAAAACCATAAGTAGAAGAATATCAAGCAAGCTTCCTCCACAACCTGCAGAAAGTATCTGATACTGGAGAGTTCTTAATACAATGAAACTCTGAAACTCTACTTTGTCAAATACTAGTGTTTGCCAGAAGAAATCCTATAAAATAGGAATTAAACAAAATTAAAAAGATTTATTTCTGGGTACATAATGCAGTTTGTCTTATTTCAAATTATTTCTTTCATTTATGTGGTACTGAGGAATTGAATCCAGGGCCTCATGCCTGCTAGGCAAGCACCCTATCACTAAGCCACATTCCCCAGCCTGTCTTATTTCCCAAGGACATGATTATCGAGTTTTTGTGTTGGGGCACAGCACAACTGGAAAAGTAAATATTCTTCAGAATACAGACAGAAATCCTAATCTAGACATGATAATTTAGTTCTTTTTTTTTTTTTTTGCCAGTCCTAGGGCTTGAACTCATGGCCACAGTACACTACTTCTGACTTTTTCTTTCTTTCTTTTTTTTTGGGTCCGGTTGTGAGGCCTGAACTCTGGGCCTGGGCACTGTCCCTCAGCTCTTCAGCTCAAGGCTAGCGCTCTACCTCTTGAGACACAGTGTCACTTCTGGCTTTTTTCTTTTTGCTTATGTGGTTCTGAGGAATCGAACCCAGGGCCTCAGGTATGCAAGGCAAGCACTCTACCACTGAGCCACCTTCCCAGCCCCACTTCTGACTTTTTCGGTTTATGTGGTACTGAAGAATTGAACCCAGGGCTTCATGCATGCTAGGCAAGCACTCTACCACTAAGCAACATTCCTAGCCCAATTTAGTTATCTATCCAATCACATAGTGAACATATTTGCTACTATATATTTGGACTTGGGGCTTTTGGGAGAAAAGTACAGTCTGGTAAGAAGCTCTTGTCTTAGATAGGAGCAATCATGATACCCTACAAATGATGCAATTGAGGCAAGGACTCATGGAACCAGTTAACAGTGGAAGCGAGTTTTGTAGAGTAATGGGGTTATTGTAACTGTGTGAAAGCACAGTGTAAGGAGGAGAAACACTACTGGTGATTTGCTCTATATGTCTATATTTACAGGGTCTTTTATGACATTTTCAATTTGGTTGAAATTGTGTGAATTATAAAGTGATTTTTGTCATTTTGCAGGATTACCTCACACCTTTTTTACTTGCTCTAAGGGAAAGCAAAGTACATGTGGCAGACCTTTTAATAAGGAAGGGAGCAAATATACATGCACTTGATGAATTTAGAAGGTATGTCTTTAAAAATATAAACTTTAAGCTGGGCACCAGTGGTTCATACCTGGAATCCTAGCTACTCAGGAAGCTCAGATCTGAGGATCATGGTTTGAAAGCAGCTCAGGCAGCAAAGTCCATGGTCCTGTTAGCCACCAAAAAGCCAGAAGTGGAGCTGTGACTAAAGTGGTAGAGTGCTAGCTTTGAGCACAAAAGCTCAGAGACAGCATCCAGGCCCCTGAGTTTAAGTCCCATGACTGATACACACACATACATACACAAAAGTAAACCTCAGTGATGCTCCAGTGTGATAACAATCACTCAAGTCAGATATTTAATTGATGGGAAGAAGATTAACCTATGCTCATCTGTGAACAAATGCAATCATGTAGAAACCATGAGGAAAATGACTTATATAACTGTGGGCAGGGATGGGAGGGGGAAATTGGGTAAAGCAAAGGAAGGGGTGACATTGTCTAAAAAAATAAATATACTCATTACACGACTTACAAAATGGTAACCCCTATACAAACACCTTAAAAAAACCAATAAAATTATATTAAAAATGTTAACATAAACCATCAGGTAAAAAAGCAATTATTTGTAGTGAGTAATACAAAAAGAACATAATGGAGTACATGTTCCCTTAAATATTAATTAATGTTAATTATTATTTGATTTTTGTTGGTCACATGATCATATGCTCACAGGGTTTCATTTTTCATTTGTTTTTGTTTTAAAATTATTTATCAAGCATAAATAAGAGTTGGAAATTCTAGTCTGTTGGATGACTCTGCTTTTTTCTTTCAATAGTCAAGTTTTTAATTTACTTGTTCATTTCTTGCATTTGAAGTACTCTTTGATGATATCCTTGGCCTAAGACCCTTTGTATATAGTCTTTAACGGCTACACAACTGCAACCAGCCATTTTTATGATTTTTCTTCCCTCTGGATCATTTTGCAGAGGCCTACCCACTCCTCTAGCTTTTTGTTGTTGTTGTTGTCATTGACCTTAAGATTGATTTGGTGCTCACCAAAGGGTCTCCACCAACTGGATATACACGAGCTCATTACAGTTCGAAGCAAACACACTCAGATATGTTTGGCTCTTGTGTAAGGCTTTGGCTGCTTCGTGAATTACAAATGCTAGGCCTTGGTGGATGAGAGCGATCTTCAGCACCTCTTGTAAAGCAATACAGAATTAATGTCCATTACACCTCCAGAAGCAATGCTTTCCTCCTCCATGGCGTGGATTATGGGTGAAGCCAATCTCGCCTGCCTTGGCAGCTGCTGGGAAAGAGCTAGATGACTCTGCTTTAAGGCGATTCCATGGAAGAATGTTGCTGTTAGGCTATTCCTAAATGACTCTTAATGGCCATTAGTGCTGTAAAGACTTGTTTCTTCTACCTGATTTAGTTTGATTCTTTTATTTTATGACAAAAGAAAAATAGGTTTAACTGGAAAAACTTGAACTGTGAAGATGTCCTAGATATATGATAAAGGCTTTGAAATCACTGCATTTAATTTCTAGCTTTCCCATATTCTATTTATGTGTCTTAGGAAAAATTATTTATCCCCAGATACGTTCCATGAGATGAAGAAGAGGATAATAGCCTTTAATGATAGTTTCAACACTATTTATATACCATTTAGTTTATTGCCTTCCACCTTGTGATCAATATAATTAAACTACCTTGTTAGTACTACTATTATTATTTTATTTATTTATTTATTTATTTATTTTTTGGGTCCAGTCGAGGAGCCTGAACTCTGGGCCTGGGCGCTGTCCCTCAGCTCTTCAGCTCAGGGCTAGCGCTCTACTACTTGAGCCACAGCGCCACTTCCAGCTTTTTTTCTTTTTGTTTATGTGGTGCTGAGGAATCGAACCCAGGGCCTCATGCATGCAAGGCAAGCGCTTTACCACTGAGCCACCTTCCCAGCCCCACTATTATTATTTTAAATACATTTTCACAATGTTACCATTATTCTATTTACACAAATAGATTTTACTTACATGAACATCAGCTGACCTGAAATTCAATGTGTTACTTTGGATTAGGGAATAAGTGGGGAATTACTCATTTTACCTAGATAAATGACCTTAACACATTTATTATCCATTAAAGTCCACATTAAATGATAGATTCTGGATATATTCCCAGTGCAACAAAAGGTTCTCCGTTTGATTTTTCCTTTGAGCCTCAGAGATAATTTCCAGAGGCAAATATCAGAGCATATACCTGTCAGTAACTTTCTGCACAGACAGACAAGGTATCAAATTCGTAGTACTTATCTATTTATCTGTATAAATATCTCAGTGAAAGTAGCCAACGGTGACACTGTATATGTTTTTTTAGAAATGCTCTCATGTATGCCGTAAGATGTGAATCAAAAGATATGATCGCGCTTCTTCTTCAGCGAGGCATTGAGGTTTCCCATCAAGATGGTTTTGGATGGACTGCGTTACAATATGCAGCTGCAAGTCATTCTAGGATGTAAGTGTTCACTTTAACATTGAGTAGAGGTTTAAAACAGTTACTATTACACTATTTCACTGGTTGATGAGGTTTTAGAAGGACCGTGAGTTAGTATACTTCATCAGTCAGTAACAAAGCAAAAAGACTAGTTAGAAGTAGCAATTTGTGCGGAATATTTTACCCCAGAACTTTTTTTTTTTTTTGAGGAGGGGATTGGGGGCTTTGGCAGCAATGGAGATTACTTGTAATTGGCAAGTGTTCTATCACTGAGGTGGATCTCTAGCCCCTAGATCAGGAATTTTAAGGCCTTTTTTTCCTTAGGAATCCCAGCATGGGGTCTTTTACCTGGGATCTAGAGTATCACATCTTTGATTTTTGTAATTAGCTATTTGGGACTTGAAATGTTTAGTTGAGCTGAAAAATAACATTACTTTCTCCTGGGGAAAGAACCTAAGGAGTTCATCAAATATAAGAATGTCAGGGGCTGGGAAGGTGGCTCAGTGGTAGAGCCTTGAGCTTAAGAGCTGAGGGACAGTGCCCAGGCCCAGAGTTCAGGCCCCATGACCGGACCCCCCCCCCCCCAAAAAAAAGAATGTCAGTCTCATTTCACAAGTCAGAGAGATGGGGGAAAAAGGGAGAATCTAATTACGCTTTTGTTTCTGTTGGTTCTATATCTGCAATGCTGCTGTTAAAACTGGATCTGGGAGTCCAGAAATGATTTCTTTTACTACCTTGCTGCCCTTACTGACCTATACTGCTGAGTCTTTTTAATTTTTTTTTTGGCCCATTGTGAGGCCTGAACTCTGGGCCTGGGCGCCATCTCTCAGCTCTTAGCTCAAGGCTAGCGCTCTACCACTTAAGCCACAGTGCCACAGTGCCACTTCCAACTTTTTCTGCTTAAGTGGTGCTGAGGAATTGAACCCAGGGCCTCACGCATGCAAGGCAAGCGCTCTACCACTGAGCCACCTTCCCAGCTTTATTATTATATTTTTTAGTTCATCTGTACTTAGGTTTTTTGTTTTTGGTTGTGTGTTTGCTTTGTTTTGCCAATCCTGGAGCTTGAACTCAGGGTCTGAGCACTGTCCTTAACTTCTTTTGCTCAAGGCTAGTGCTCTATGACTTGAGCCACAGCACCATTTCTGGCTTTTTCTGTTTATGTGGTACCGAGGAATCAAACCCAGGGTTTTATGCATGCTAAGTAAGCACTCTACCATTAAGCCACATTCCCACCCTGTACTTAATTAATGTATTTAAGCTCAGTATTTCCAAAGCTATCTGCTTTGGTAATGGGACCTCCTAGCTTTAAACAATCATATTGTTTGTAAAATGACCTTTTCTCATATTCACAATCTTACATGGAGTCTACATCTTCCTGTAAATCCTCTAGGCAAGTTACCTTCTTAGGACTTTATCTTTTCTGCTAGCAAATACTAGTTGAGATCATTCTAAATTGTCAGATTCAAATAGTGTTGGAGGAAGGGATTGGAGGGTTTTTTTTGTTTTTGTTTTTGTTTTTTATTCATTTCTATCTGAGACCAGGACTTGAACTTGGTATCTGACATTTTCACTCATTGGCTGGTGATCCACCATATGAGCCACTTCTTCAAACCCATCTTGTTTTTTTTTGGTCATGGGGCTTGAACTCTGGGCCTGGGCTGTCCCTGAGTTCTTCAGCTCAAGGCTAGTGCTCTACCACTTGAGCCACAGTGTCACTTCCGATTTCCTGATGGTTAATTGTCCAATAAGAGTCTCACAGACTTTCCTGCTTTGAATCATGATCTTCAGCCTCCTGAATAGCTAGGATTACAGGCGTGAGCCACCAACCCCATCTTTTTTAGTACTAGCTCTGGACCAAAGGTTCCTGAGTATCCTGTGTAGTGTCTTAGATTATAAAAAATCCTGCATCAACTTTCCCACAATGCATGCCATTTTGCAACTAAGCATTCAAGTGATGTTTTTACTATTGTCACAGTAATGAGAATGTCCCCAAAGACTTTATGCCTCAAACTTTCAAAAGGAAGACAGAATTCTCTGATCTGAAGTATACTGGTTGGATATAAGAGCTAAACAGCATTATTCCTTATTTGTGTCCATGGCTTTTTTTTTTCCTTTTTGTAAATTCCAAGTAAGTTGGAGATAAACATGTAGATTGCACATTATTATAACAAATGTGCTGTTGAAAAATTGGTTAGATAGGTTGATTGACTTTATGTGCTTAGTGTGATTGATTAAATAATGAACAATATTTTAATCTAATTTTAATATTTGCATATTAATGAAAATTTAGTTATAAATTGTTAAATAGCTGTTTTGTTATGAATCACAAACTGCAAATAATTGAACAGCTATTATCCAAAACTTGGGCTTATATTTTCCTGATACTTGCAAAAGACACACACATTAGATTATATTTAGGATTCTAAAACTGTTCAGCATTAAGGAACAAATTATCTGGTCCTGGTGACTCACACCTATAATCCTAGCTAATCAGAATGCTGAGATCTGAGGATCACAGTTGGAAGCCAGCCTGGGTAGGAAAGTTCATGAGACTCTCCCATTAATCACTAAAAAGCTGGAAGTAGAGCTGTGGTCAGCCTTGAGTGAAAAAGCTAACGGAGAGCACTCAGGCCCTGAGTTCAAACCTCAGTACCAGCATGCATGTGTGTGTGCTAAAAGAAACAGATTATATCATTGCTTTACTATTTACATACACGATTGTGTATGTTGTTATATTTTTCATTAAATCTGCACAGCAGCCCGCAGAACTGAAACAGTAAAATCCATATTTTTGGAAGAAAACTTTGAGCCCAAGAGAAACAATTTTCCCAAGAAAACCAGCTATTGGTTATGAAGTTAAGACTTTTACTGTGATGTGTGCTTATGTCAAGCACCTCTGGTTCATGTGCTATGCTATCATGTACTACACAGTGATTTCCCTTTATTTTTCTTCTTTAACTACAAGCCTAATGAAAAGTTTTAGAGCTTACAACCTTTGAAGATGGAAAAAATTCTAATAATATCTCTGATACTGTCTGAAACATTCCTAAGAATTTCACAAATTTGACCTTTTTTTCTTATTAACATTAAAATGATAATTTCCTTACTTTTATGTGGCAGCTGGAACATACTTTTGAACTATGAAGAACATGAGCTTAATAATTTACAAGAGAGCAATACAGGTAGGAGCAAATTACCGGAATTACTTCTGATAGTCCTAGTCTATATATAATAGGTCATAGTAAGGAAGTTTAGATTCCAAGAGTGGTTTAAAAGGCCAAGTGTAACTTGTATTTTCAAGTTTCATAATTTCTTTGTTAATAGGGCTCAGAATGAGTAAAGAAATGACACAAAGTTTACAATCTGAAACAGTGTTGTCTAAAAAAGAATTACTTGGTCCTTGAAATCTTAGATATCTTTGTGTAAATAAGAAAAAGGCTGGTAGAGTGGCTCATGTGGGAAAGGGCTTCCCTGGCTAGCCCAAGGCCTTGAGTTCAAACCCCAGTAATGGCAAAAAAAAGAAAAAAAAGTATGTATTTGTTTGCCCAGCACCAGTGTCTCCTGCCTAGCTACTCAGGAGGCTAAGACTGAAGATCATGGTTTAAAGCCAGCCTGGCATGAAAGTCTGCGACTCTTATCTCCAATGAACCAGCAAAAATATGGAAGTGGAACTGTAGCTCACGTGGTAGAGCACAGCCTTGAGTGAAAAAGCTAAAGGACACTGCCCAGACCCTGTGTTCAGGCTCAACCTCACCTGAGCCACTGCTCCACTTCCAGCTTTTTGTTGCTTAACTGGAGTTAAGATTGTCACTGCCTTTTCTGCTCTGGCTGAATTTGAATCATGATCCTCAGAACTGAGCTTCCTGAGTAGCCAGGATTACAAGTGTGAGTCATCAGTACCTGACTTATTTTTATATCATTTTATAATAATTATTATTTGTGATGCAGAGGATTGAATTTATGGCATCCCACATACTAAGCAATTACTCAGCCATTGAGCCACAACCTTAGCCCAAGGGAAATTCTTATAGGTTCATAGTGATTTTTTGTCATATTTTACCTGAAGTGAAAAGGAATCAAGGTTTTCTGTCTCATTTTGCATGTGCATGCATATGTGCGTGCGTGCGCGCGCACGCGCGGCGCGCACACACACACACACACACACACACACACCACTCATATGAATCTATCAACTTTTGCCTAGCACCTTGCTACTACCCAATATCACTAGCTGTGACTATTAGCTATAGTTCAGAGTTCCTAATCTCTGGTGTGATAGCTCAAAGAATTTTTTCCATGGGAGACAAAATGATAACTACATTCAAGCCATGATTTTCTCACAGAAAAAATAGAAACAACAACTTATTAGTATCTTCCCCAGAAGAGAACTAGGGAGAATCAGCATCACACTGATTTCTCTTGAGCTCTTGCCATCCAACAGCTGAAAAGACTATGCAGATACTTGTGTCTGTATTTTATCATCCAGTGCCAGTAGATTGAGCATCCTTGTAACAGAGTAAATAGTTTGCACCAAATTCCCGGAAAAGCTGTGTTGTGTCATTAAAAAAGTAAGAATACTGTGTGTGTGTGTGTGTGTGTGTGTGTGTGAGAGAGAGAGAGAGAGAGAGAGAGAGAAAGAGAGAGAGAGAGAGAGAGAGAGAGAAAGACAGACAGACAGACAGAGAGACAGAGAGATAGAGAGACAGACAGAGAGACAGAGAGAGAGAATGTCTTGGGACTTGAACACAGAGCCTCAGTGCTATCCCTGAGCTTTTGTGCTGCAGATTAGTACTCTACTACTTTGAGCCGCAGCTCCTTTTCCAGCTTGTTGGTAGTTGATTGGAGATAAGAGTCTCATGAATTTTCCTGCCCAGTTTGGCTTTGAACCGTGAGCCTCAAATCTCAGCCTTCTGAATAGTTAGGATTACAGGTGTGAGCCTGTATTCTCTTAAGAATTGTTCCTAGTGCCATTTTCTTTCTAGAAAAATCAAGCTTATTGCCTGACACTGTCAGTTTATGAT